AATATTTGACTCTCTCAATTGTCAAGTGTTGTTGATAGAGATGTCAAGTGATAGGTCCTTCTATATGCTCAAAGATGTGCTGACATTTGTCAATATTATTTGGGTCCTGACATATTTGTTGTCAAAGATTTGAATCTTAATCTCTCTCTCTCTCTCTCTCTCTCTCTCTCTCTCTCTCTCTCTCTCTCATTTGAAATTGGTTATTAGTTTATGAGTGAACTCACCCATATCAACTTATAGTTTGACTGACGAGACTTAGTCATTGCATAATAAATCACGTAAATTTAAAATTTATAAAATTAGAAAATACCAATTTTTATATATTTAGAAGTATTTTGAAACAAATATATCAATTATATTTGAATAAAACTCATAAAAATAATGATAATTTTCTAGGTCATTTAGAGAGATGTAATATAATATTAGGTAATATTTCAATAGTTTTCACAAAGAATATAATTTTTTATAAATTTTAGACTAAGAAATAAAAGTAAAATATATTTAAAATTCACGAAAAAAAAGGGTGCATACATCATAATGATGTCAATGCCTCACAAATAAGAATTGAGTGAAAATAGAGTTCTATTTAATAATTCTTACATAAGTGATTAAAGATAATTTAATTAATCAAATTAAGATTTTTTTAAAGCCAAAAGAATTGTAATTGAATGAAGAATAATTTAGAAATTTTAAATCACAAAAATTATCATTAAATAAAATAATAATTAAGTTGAAGGTTGGAAAGATAGATTTTTGACCTCGCGACATTAATTGTCAAAATTCTATGTTCAAGATGGTTATCATATGATGTCTATGGTCTCAAGGGCTCTCTTTAGACATGGATGACTTAGGAATTTGATGAATCTCTTTTTAATGTCCAGAAGATCAATGAAATGAGTTATTGAGTCATTTTTGACAATTGTCACTAGGCATAGTGAAAAAATGACTTTACGGCTCTTTGATGGTTGTCACCCGATGGAGATTAGCTGAATCAAGGTGGGACATATCATAGAAAGCTTTATCTTTATGTCTACATAATAAGATAAGGCTCTTCATCACATCTAGTATATTCTCAAGAGGTGGTGACTTGTCTCTCGGTGGATCATCCCATTCCTGATGAGAGTTTGTTCGTTGATTAATTGAAGATAATTTACTTGATAGATTTGTGATCTTTTTATCTAGAATCATTCAATAATTTTAGTAATGATGCTTTACGAACTATATTGACGACATTTTCATTAATAATTGAGTGATTTTGGCAGTTTAATCATTTATTGGTAATTTGGAGAAAAATCATGATTTAATTAAATAAAAGTATGAATTTTTGACTCTCATAGAATTTAAACCCTCACTAGTTACCCACCTATATGAGAGAGAGTAATATAAATATATGAATACCCTTATAAAGTGACATCATAAAGGTATCTCTTTTTGATAAATAAAAGATATTTAGGCATGAAAATTATTAAAACCTTTTGTGAAGGTTGTGACTACTGATTTAGTCTCACATTGATTATATGCTGAATTTTGAGCTAAATATATTATAATATGAGATTTTCTAGTCAATGAGTTTCTTTCTCGGGTGTGTATAACCATTCTTTGCCCCATGCTTGACTAGCCACCAATGATGTGGAAGGAGAGTGACACACATGTCTCTTACTGGTCCATCTTCAGCCGCTTAAGTCCTTGCTCGTGGCTCCGCCCAATTGTGTATCTAACCCACTTACGGGCCCAGCTGGCCAATGAGTTCCCCCCTTTTTCTATCTTTTCATTTTCAGCTCTTCATTTTTTTTAAGGACAAAGCAAGTCCACTATCGCATCAAGAGTTGAAACTAGAAGAAGTCTTAACAAGTTGAGCCCTACTTAAACATGCATATGTTGTTAGTGAAGATTTTGTGTGACATTTTATTTTTCTTCTTTTATCTTAAAAATAGGATTATAAAAATTATATAATTAACTAAAAAATTATATTGACCACCTAAAAACTACTTTTTATAATTCAACACAAAGGTAAGTCTATTTATCATGATTAAGGCTAGAACTATAATGTTAATTAATTATTAACTCATAATAATGAAGACTTATCATTGACCCATATGTGACTTATGCTCATTTCCTTTTTCTTTATAGAAATTTTGCATTCTAATTTTTTTATTTTCTTTCAAATTCAAATCTCTTCATTATGGGTTACTTTCTTGCTAATTATTTTTCATGATTTGAAGCAGAAAACATAATAAAAAGAAGTGGATTGAATTTAATAATTTAGATCTTCATCTAGCCTCTTAATGTCCTAAGAACATGTGGAATTCATTTTTATTTTTCAACTATTATTATTTATTAACAGTGAGATATTTAAACCAACAAATCTGACAAGATATCTCATTACTCCTATGTTATTCCATGCCATTAAGGCGATCACAGTTATCATTAGTGAAAGCTAAACTTAAGAACAAAATAAGAAAAAGGCAGGACTTTTGCCCTATAAATAAGAGGAGATGGTAGCCTCTTGAAAGAGAATGATCCTAATAGATAGAGACATAGAGAGAGGAATACACATTCTCTATTGAGCAAAAGAGCGTTTTGGCAAGGGGAGAGACTGCTTCGTATCGTTGAGGATGTCTAAGACTAGATGACTACCACGTTACAAATGCTTACCACATTCGGTATTGGATCATACGATCTTTACAACCTTTGATTGTCAAGTTCATAGGTTTAATTCCAACTGGGTACCTGCTAAAGGGAATAGTCGACTCAATATGTTTATTGGAGTTGGCTTGATATCATGTGGATAATTATTGGGTTTATAATGAACAGAAAGACCACATTTTAAATAAGAAATGAGTAAGGAAATCGAATCAAAACTCTAGAAAAAGAAAGGATCTCTTGCTCTACACGTGCTCTAGAAAGGAATCAGATAATGCGCTGAAGAAAATGAAAGGAATTCTTACCTAAATTGTATGATCCTCTTTCGAGCTTCTTAAGTGTTCCAGTCCGTGGCGATGCTCTTGGACGAGTTTTCAACATTCTTGGTGAACGTCTTGATAATCTTGGCAGAACATCTATTCATATACTTACACCTGCCTTTATCTAATCTTTGAAAAGGGATTAGAGTAGTGGATCTTTTGGTCGTCGCACGAAAAGCAGATATCAGCAACAAACGGCTTTACCATGGGACAGCTTACGATTTGTACATCAATCTATATGATACGCCTCACACGATGACTGTCCTAGTTCATGCTTATCTTTCGCTTCGTTCCTCCAAGAACAATAAGAAAGAATTTTTTGGCTTTATAGATCAAATTCTAGAAATTCAGCAGAATCCTCCAACAGAATCTTCTATGTATCCGTGAGTGGTACGAGGGTTTGAAATATTGGAATAGTGAAATGCATGTTGAATGATAAAGAACAGAACTTCCAAAAGACTGGTTGGCGGATGCTATTCAGACAAAATCTATTTCGTTTCAGTCTGATACCTTGGCGAAAGTCTGCAATACGGCGGTCTCCTCATGGTGATGCAATGAGAAAAAAGTGAACTTCTATGAAATTATTTCACGGGCTTTCTTCCGCCAACAGTCTCGGAATCCGTGATATCAATTTTCTGTGATTATCACTGGTATGTAATGAATCAACCACCCCACTTTGGTATCCTTATGAAAGAAAATGATACTATCAGTCTTCCATTTATCAAGAATTTTGGTCTATTTGAACCGTTCGTTTTTCATTCATCTGAGTGTTTATAGTGGAAGTTATTATTTCAGCAACAGTATCCCTACCCATGAGACGCCTAAATTACAGCTACATCCTGATGTGTCAGACCCAGGTGACACATGACGATGATGCTTTTCTTGTTTTGACTTTATTGTGAAAAATGTCGAAATTTTCTCGAATATTATATTCTCCAAAGAAAGGGTGTTCTTCGAGGCTAAATTTGAGTACCGCTCGCAAATAACAGGTACAGGAACCACTGAAGGTACTGGAGGAACAAGAACAACGACCACAAACTCATCACGAGAAAGTCAGAGACCCATATTTCGGGGGTCAAAAGAGCTTCATAAAACGTTCTTCGCGGAAGAAAATGTGAGATGAAAATCCAACAGGGGTCATTAAAAAAAGGATCCTATCGACTTGTTCCGACCCAGGATAATAAGCACATGAGCTTGGCCTCATTTCGCGGTGAAAAAATGAAAGAAGACACTGATTTCCAAGCCCAGCTCAGACGTAGCTCGCTTCTCTTTTGGGTGTGAAGCAATATCAAGCAAACATACCCAACTAGCGTTAGCTCTCCCTGGAGAGGAAGTGATCCTGCAGCACCTTCCAGCACGGTTACCTGGAAAACCAATCATACAAACTAAAAATACAATTAGATCAGCTCTTCATAGACAAACTTGGCATGTGCGACCCCAGGTCAGATGGGCACAAGATCACAGGATCCTTCTCTATCGAATTGGGAGGGCTGTTACACAAAATGTATTAATCCCAAGTAATTTCCTAGTATTCTAATCCTCGTTATGCCAAGCATTCAATAAGCTGGGTATTCAGCTCATATAGTGATACCATGAAATATGAACTGAATGAACCAGAATTCTGGGGGATGCAGAGAACTCATAGGGATGAAACTGGATCTTTGGTTGGATTCAAATATGCAGTATTGGAGTTGCCTTTTCACCCCAAGCCGAGACTACGGTGATAAGGATTCTTATCTGAAACGTTGGGGATCATATAAAACCAGAGGACAACATCACTTGAGTGTCCGAGCAACTGAGAGAGAGAAAGAGAGTGCGTAGCTCCATCGACCTTCGTCTTAGAAGAAGGGGGCAGAATGCTCCGGTAGAGATGCCCGCCTCTCTGTTAAGAGAGGACTATAAGAAGAATAATTAAATCCCAACTCGGCATTCTCTCCTCGATATTATTATTATTTGTACAGAACGCCAAACAATACAGAGAGCGGAATAGTCGTAGGCCTTGCCAGCCGATTCCGCAACCTCCGCCACCTTATTCATTCATGAGGAAGACGAACCCTCCTGAGCGGCGATGGCGACTCTGGCGGATATCCACCCGACGATGTCCTCTGCAATGTCCTCCCCTTCGGGCTCGAACAACAGATCGTGCAGCAGCCCCTCGTAGAGCTTGATGGACTTGTCCGCGGAACGTGCCTCCTGGTGCAGCCGGTGGGAAGCCGCCGGATCTGTCACGGTGTCCGCCGTGCCGTGGAGCACCATGAACGGCACGTTCACTCTCGACAGGTTCTGCTGCAGGAAGGCGGTGATCCGCAGGATCTCGTATCCCGTTCTCACCCTGAGGGCCCCCGTGAACACCAGCGGGTCCGAGTACTTGGCCGCCACCGCCGCCGGGTCTCGCGAGACCGGCGTCCCCCTCTTGTCCGCGGCGCTGAACTGATACCGCGGTATCAGCAGCGAGAAAATCGGCGCCACTACCTGCAGTTCAACGACGAGTAAGAAAGAGAACCACCAATATGCACCCCCCCTACTCCTCTTCCTCTTCCTCTTCCTCTTCCTCTTCTTCTTCTTTCCCAGGCACGACTGGATCTGCTCACCTTGAGGATCGGATGGGAGGACTGTACGCGTATCGCCGGCGACGTTAGAATCACGCCTCGGACGCGCGCCTCCACCTTTGGGTCCAGCGCCGCCTGGTTCCGACAGCCCAAAACATTATAAGAACCCGTGAGTTGACGTGAAATGCTGCTGTTTTGAAGCTGACCGGCGGAGCGGTATGTCGCCCTCCCCTACCTTGAGGACGATCGCGCCACCAGTCGAGTGGCCGAAACAGAAACACGGTAGACCAGGGTTCTCCTCCAGTACCTTCTCCAGAAATGACTTCTGTAGAACATGGGGCATCACAATAAGCATAAAATGGGCAGTTCAGAAGTCGTAAGCGCATCAGTCAACGCCATGACTCGGTAGCGATGGACGTACCGCATCACCGACGGCGTAATCAAGGGAATGGACGTAACCATGCAATCCATCGCTGCCACCGTGTCCTACAAACCCAGGAAGGAGCGCACGAAATAATGAGATATATATAATCCATCATGATGGGTAGATACTTCATTCCCTACGTAGTGAGAATAAATCGTTAAAAAGTCAAAGACTACTATAAAAGGAGATCATTTTTATCGGCTTTATGCATGATAGAGACAAGACTGGAAGCTGTAAAATATTAATTGTTGCCATAAATGCTGTTTTTATTTTCAGCTCAGACTGCACACCGCACAGGAATTCAACTGAATTAACTCGAGATGACTACCTGACCTGCCAAAGTTAAAAATAGGGTCAAACTCCCGAGGGGTTGTGTTCTTCCAAGATCTGAAAAACTGAATCGAGAGCTCCTGTGAGTCGGTTCACAGTATGAGTCTCACGACACCGCTGACGAACAAGAGAAGAATGCTTAAGATAGCGGCTCAAAGGAGGAGCATCAGACATTTATCGATTTATCCGCCATTATTAATACTCCAGGGTGAGTTCACAGCGGTAATATCGCCACCATCTTCCTACCCTCTTCTGCTAGTATGGAAGGTGCTAGATGATACGCAGTAACATATTCTCGACGACATCCAAACTAGGATGGGGTCACAAGGTTAGACAAAGAACCATACGAAGCGGGTAGAGAGGAATGTTTCAACTATTCTCAACCCAAAGCTGCCCAGACTGAAGAAGAGGAAAAGAGGATAACAATACTGAGGCATGCAGACACGCATAAATTGAAGATAAACTCATCTGTTTATCTCTGGCTGGTTTCCACCCTAACAGCTACTCCAAGCATCAGCCAAGGCAAAATAAATCATCAATTGAGATAATTGGTAGAAAACACAAGTTAAAGGTCTTGGGATCCGTCCAACAGTAAAATTAAGATGTTTACAATTTTTTGACGTTTTATTTTGATAAACAAAGCCATCATCCTCTGCGGATGACAAAATGCATTCAATCTCTCATAGTAGAGGAAATATGCAGCCATGGATTCTCTTCTCAGGGTTTTGAGAACCGACGGAAAAGGCAGAAGATAGCTAATCGAAAGGATCGAAGAATACAACCGAAGTGGTCTTAGGGGAAGCTTATGGCATAAAGAAGAGAACAAGATTCACAAGGAACTTACCCGTCCAATCCATGGCGTACACTTTAAATCCATTGTCATTTAGCCTTTTCGCAAAGGAGTCATATCGACCACTGGAAGGTAAACATGGGTTCAGATTCATGCAGTAGCTTTTTTTGCATCAAGGGCAAGTTACGAAAGGATATGACTGTACCTGTGTTCGTTCAAACCATGCAAGATCACCACAAGACCTCTGCGCAGGAAAAAAGTGAAATTTACAAGCGTGATCAACTATCAATCCACAAACGATACGACCAAAGATTTTTCCAAAAGGATAAAGTTATTGTACATACGTCAGTTCAGGGGTCCACCACAAGACCCAAATCATTAGTCACTTAACAAAAATATTCATAAAGAGGAATGATAAATATATAACATTTTTGCACATAAATGCAAATATAAATGCTGCCCTACCAGTCTGTAGCATGAGGGCTTGGGGCCATGACATAAATATTACAATATAAGCTAGCATGTTTCACTAGGTGAAGTTGAATTCCCTGAGTTTATGGGTCCCAGATAGCGAAATATAGAACAAAGACACAAGTTTGGTAATCAGCCGCAACGCTCCTTGTCTTATAGTGATGTAAGAAGATGACTCGGCTAGCAAGCCCACCATTTGCCGACAGCATTGACTTTATGGCCCTTTCCAAATAAAGCGATATTGGAGAGAAAATGGGAGCTAGTGTTTTCTTGGTTGTAATATTAATCGTAATACGGGAAGGTTAACATCTATGCAAAAGAGTGCTTACTTGGGTAGCGCGGTGATCGGACTCCAGGACCTTGTGAACAGGGTGTCTCCGCGAGCGGTGACGAACAGGGAGAATTCCTTTTTCGACCTCCCGTTCCCATGGCCTTCTTCTTCGACGGCCATACGCCTGATCGCCATTGCTCGCCTCAACGCCACCTCTGCGTCACGTGGGCCCCCCCTCCTTGGAACCATCGCCGCAGGCACCCTCACCACAACAGGTGATCCCCATTTCCTCTTCCTTTGCCGACAGCCATCATCTCCCCTCGCCCTTTCCACGGAACATTTGGACAGCGGCGGAGAGGCGCCGGACGCGAACCGCGCCGCGCCGCGCTGAAACGGTGTGAGGAGCAGGATGAAGAACATGTTGAGGAGCAGGAAGAGAGTTCGCAGAGCTCGGAGCGACAGCAGCGCGTTAAGGCGGCTACTCGCCCCGGACGTCAGGATCAGCGGCGCCGGCGCCGTGGAAACTATCTTGGACATGGCCTCCATCCTGGCCTCCAACCCCTGCCTCAGACACCTCAATTCCAGGTACCTATGCTGGGAACAGTGGCGCTTCCTTCCCTTCTCATCAAATCGCTCAGAGATGACGACGAGGCCGAGACGATTCCCGTTCCCTAATTTGCTCGCTCCAATCAAAACCATAAAGAACTGCGCAAGCTGTCAAAAAACGAAGACCCTCCTCCTCCTCCGATTCAACCGTGCTTCCTTCCTTCCTTTATTCAAACCACAGGAAACCCTAGGAGACCACGAAAATACGCGAAGAAAAAAATCCAATATTCGCAGATTAAACGACGGCCTCCCTCAGAATTCACTTCTAGTTCCACAATTTCCTGCGGGATCAACGAGAACTACGGAAAGGAAGGGGATGAGACAACGGGAGTTAATCTGCGGCGCAAGCTTTCCTTGCTGGTTCGGACAGAGCTGGTAAAGATTGGGTTGTTGTCTCTCTTCGCTCCGGGGAAGAGGATGAAAGAAATGAGAGAGATCTAGTTTGAGGGCCGCGTATATATAGCCGGAGGAGGTGAAGTTGTCCCGCCCCGCCTTCGTCGTTCCGGTATCCACATCACCCCCCTCATTAACTATAATATTCAAAATTTGCTCCAATACATTCGACAAATTGAATAGGCATCCTGGGAAACATATTTCCTACGTTTCAAATATACCCTCACAACAAGGGCCCTTTGGATATATAAACCATGGGAGGCGAGTTTCAGGGGGTTGCTGTTTCGAAAAAAACCTCCAAAGATCGCCAAGCTGATCGATTTAAGGGGTAGACAGATGTGGGGCCAAGGATCGCCCGCGTGGCAGAGCGTAGTAAACTGTTCATGACGTGTGGCCAAAGCAGCGAACGTGACCTTGATTAAGGTCGTTCTCAGGCGGCAGCTATTAGGGCGCCGTCTCCCCCGCGGACTTGGGCATGGGCAACTTTTGGGGCCCATTCCCTTATGGATCGGCGCCTTTATTGCCCCGAAAACTTTAAAGGCCACGAAATAAGCTGGCTGGTGTGTCTCTAGAGAGAGAGAGAGAGAGAGAGACCCCTCCAACCAACGAATTCAGGGTCCAGTGCACGTTGACTGTGGACGGCAGGGCAGCTGCCGTCCATTGACTACATACAACGCCCACTGAGGACGACCCAAGGCCGGTGGTTAGAGCCCGGATTGCTGCCTCCGTCGGGGCAGCAGCGGCGCCGCCGGGATCCCAGCAGTCCATTGCAAGAAATTCGCCGCTGGCTCGGCATTTATGGTCGTTGACTTGTTCAAAAAAGGTTGGGTGAGACTTTGCCGTGATTGCTATCTCGAGATGCAGATGATGACTTGCGAGGTTCGATTTCTCTTCTTTGAAGGGGTGAAGTCGATCGGAGGGTGAAGACACCCTCCAGTACAATGAGGAAGAAGGGCGAGAGAGAGTGATCACTTCACGAGTCCCAACGAATTCCATTTATCGATATGGTGACTTACCTCGAGCCCGTCTGATTCTGAATGAAGCAAGTCGTTCCTCACGAAAGGACGGCCACACCGCAACCTTGTTCGTGGGTCACTGCCATGTATTGCACTGAAAACATGCAAACATTTTAGGCCTGATCGGAACCTATTCCATCTCTTCCCATGGTTTCAAGAGCCCACCTCTCTCCTGTTTATCCACACCCTCTCTCTCCTCTCTCTCTCCTCTCTCTCTCTCTCTCTCCCCTCTCTCTCTCCTCTCTCTCCTCTCTCCTCTCTCTCCTCTCTCTTTCTCCCCTCTCTCTCCTCTCTCTCCTCTCTCTCCTCTCTCTCTCTCCCCTCTCTCTCCTCTCTCTCTCCCCTTCTCTCTCCTCTCTCTCTCTCTTTCTCCCTCTCTCCCCCCTCTCTCTCTCTCTCACCCTCTCTCTCACTTTCTCTCCCCCTCTCTCTCTCTCGCTTTCTCTCCCCCTCTCTCTCTCTCTTTCTCTCCCCCCCTCTCTCTCTCTCTTTCTCTCCCCCCTCTCTCTCTCTCTTTCTCTCCCCCCCCTCTCTCTCTTTAATCCGTGAAAGCAGTCAAAGATGCACACGCATGCTCATCTTTGTGGTAAATACGTTCCTTGGAGCCCTCCTTTGTCATAGAAGACATACCATGCATGTGAAATCCAGCGTGCCTTTTCCCACGTAAATATATGTGTATATATATATATTTATAATTCAGTGTTGGGATCCGAACTATACTAAGTATGTGTAAATATATATGTATATATATGCATGTGACATATATGCATATAATTTCACTTGTATGTACCATTTTCCAAGTATGTGGATATTGGTAAAGTCAATCAGGCCCATTGATTTTCATAACACGTTGCGGAAAACCATGCAACACAGAACACGGAACAAGAGGAGGACATGGCGCACCCACAGAGACCGAGACTCGACATGACTGGGAACTCCAAACAAACCACAAATTTAGTGCTTAGCCCACACAAAACTACCCCCTTGGACAGAAGTAGCTAGAGGGAAGGTTCCACGAGAGCATGGAGGAATGCTCGATAGTGACCGGACGTCTCCGAATGTATGGCGGCGCTCAGAGTCTTCTTGTATTTGTTCTGGAACTCCGCCATGATGTACTGCATGTCGATCTCTGCGCGGGTCACCACAATCCTTATGAGCTTGCTGTCCTTGGTACCCAGTCCTTCCATCGCCTTGTACAGTTCCTGGGATAATACCACGCTAAGTATAATCGGAATATTTTCGGAAAGGAGAATGGAAAAGACTGCGGGTTCATATGATCCAACCCTGAAATTCACTAGTCAACTGATCCAGTCAGCTTATGCCAAAAAGGAAATTATCTTAACATCAAACCTGCTAACGGGTCGATTTCATAAGAATTGATCTAAGAACAATCATCAGTTCTCCAGCCATGAAACTCAGTAGAGTTGGCCTATTCCTACTAGATTAACCCTTTTTCGGATTTTAAAGATAAGTCATTGATTGAGCTAGAAACAGATGATCCATGAAGTTCTATGGCAAGTTCTTCGGATCTGAAAAAGGGTGGTAGATTATACTCGCAGATTCATGATTTACCTCGAAACCCCACTCCAAAACGTACCTTTGCAAAGTAGTGTGCAGGGTTCTGGGCACATCGAAGGATTGTAAGCAGAGCAAACTCAAAATTGCCAGAGGTTTCACCTTTGACAGCCTGCAGAAGGCCCCAAACTATTAGTTTTACTTTTATTGATGTGGGAGCCCGTGGGAACTGCCAAAGATTGCGTACACCACCTTTTCAAGTGTGCTTCCGTACATGCTCTTGTAAAAGGAAGCAACAGCAGCCAGATGTGGGCGGCTACGTTCACTAAATATGCGAATGAAGGTATCCTCGTCGGTCCCCAATCGCTTCTCACCAGCTTTATATAGATCTCTAACATCTTTATCTACCATCCTTTGGTCGACCTCGGGGCCTTCATAACGATGTTTGCTCACAAACGCAAGTAGGAGCTACAACAGAAGCAGCTGCATTAGTTTTCAAAGCAATACAATAAGACGTCGGAAATTTTCACAAGGGGCTACTATCAGGCATTGACTTTGCAAGAACAGCAGATTAACGGCCAAATTATTTCTTTGGCACGCTGGATTCGGTCAGACAGTCAGTCACACGCCTGTTTTCAATGGCTTTCACGTTCAGAAGCTCGCTAAAATGCAGGTTGAAGATAGCTTCTGTCATTACTGGTTCAAAATCTATTGTTCTGACGGGAACTTTGGCATCATTGTATAATTGATGTTCTAAATCTAGTATAACTGAGTTTACTCGCAGAATCCCTTGTGATGGGTCAACTCCCTGGGTTGGATGTTGCACACTCCAACCAAAGGTCAACTTTGTGCAAACATATCCAAACCTAACGTCAGACAGAGAGGGGGCCAGGTTGGCAACCTTGAGATCAAGACACACGTTGACTAATTCTGCGTGGTTCTTGTTGCATGTTCCGGTCAGGTTAGATGAGTGAAACGAATTCCAATCATGTAAACATAATGAAGCAAAATGGCTAATTTCAATCGATTCCAAGAAAAATTAAAGACTGAAAAAATAAATTTATACGAATATCGTAGTAGCAAAAATAACAACAATTCCAAGGATTTGATATCCTTTACTGTGATGCATAAATGCAACTATAGTTACATCATTTAAAGGATAAAAGCGAGCGTTCTCAAGCTTCAATGCTAACATTTTAAAATAAACTAGAACAGCGTGTATGTGTGCAACTATTAATGGAATTATAAAGAGATACTTGAAAACAGAGAACTATGGTTGGAAAAAAAATTGTATTCCCCAATTTTCTATTCAGCACAGATCTTGCAACAACGATGTCTTCACGAGTATGAGGTATATATAGCGGGGCAAATGGGGTGAAGGAATAGAAGTACCTTTCCGGTATCGTCGTTTGCACGAGATTGAATGTCATTTTCAAGAACTGAACCAAACTTTGTTCGATATGCCTGTTTAAATAGCTGAATCTGTGAAGATGTTCGAGAGCATATAACTTCAATTGCAACATGGGTCTGACTGATGTCCCCACTTAATGCAGCCCTCACTATGACTGCATCACGTTCAGCTGGCCCATGCATCCAAAGCAGAACTGCATCCTACAGAAAACCCATGAAATTGATCGGCATCCACCTATTGGAAACATTATATGTGATATATATTACACAAGAGTCAAGACATAAAATCTACTCACCGTGGATACCCACAGGCAGAACGGATAAATTTTTACAACGGAACATGCATTTTCCATCAATTTCCGAACTGAATTAGCGATAGTGTGGTATTACCTCAAGGTTTCCACTCAACTCCGAACGCAAGCGGTTTGTGAGATCTTCTCCATACATTGACTTGTATTCTTGTTGGATAAAAGCACGTTGTGTTGCATCACGGTGCGCAAGAACATTGATAACTTTCCCAGTATCACAACCAAAGCCTGCAAAGAAAAATCATGAACATTACAAAAACATTAATCCGAAGATGGACCAGAAAAATAGGAACAAAGCTAAAAAAAGTTCTGGGGTTCCAAAATACTGAGCTTCCAAGGTCTTCATGATGGGAAATAGTTTATCTGCAAAGAAGGATTGACACTTCCACAGATGTAATAAATAGGTGGGTTCTCAAGGTTGCGACTGATGAGACCCCAACCGAGAGATCTAATGTTCATACCAGACTATCCCACAAAACCAATTTCTTCCACCCCTCTTTCTCGATCTTTCATCATATAAGTAATCCGTTTTCTTTGTGGTATTTCATGTACCAAATGTTCACCAGTGAATTGGAGAAAGACTCGCATACTTCAGAAGCTGATGACATCATCTAACCTGTGCAAAGCTTAAAATCCTACACGAAAGTTGCAACAATTTTTGGACTTGCTACCATTATGATTTCTCTCGTTTATATGCCATGTACTTTACAGTTTGAAAATTTAAGAGACCATTATACGAGCTGTTTTCAGATTTGAGTTGTCATCGGTCTTCAATAAAAGGCCAGTTCTATTGTATGAGATAAGAACCAGATGATGGAAGAAAAAATAAGGTTTAATAAATGTCCAACCTAAGCCAATCAAGAATGATCAAGCGTAAGTTCATGACAAGAGGTAAATATTTTGATTGTTATTTTATTGAATTTCCGTAAGTCATTAATCTTCCAAGAAACACGAGTTGCCCCAAACCGCAGAGCTAGGGTGAATTCCTGATACAATTGAAGAGCAAGCAAAAGCCTAGTGATACAATGGGAATGCTAAATCTTCTCGGCCTAAGGTGCCATCTGCGTAGATGGCGTGGAGGGTTGTACAGGTAGAATAAAGAATGGGCTCGACTAGCCGCAGAGAAAGCACAGGACATACTCCCTTGGAAAATTTACCTTTGAAGGCCTTGTAGAGGGTGGTAGCATCTTCCCTCGCCGAAAGTGGAACCGGAGGAACTCTCAGACTCGCCATATTCCCCGAACGCCTGCACCTGTAGATCACCCTCCGTCTTTACCAGCCCTATTCCTCTCCTTTCCCCTTTAAATGAGCATCTTCTGAAGAGCAGAAACAGACGGCGAAGAGAGTTGTCGCTGACCACGCAGGTCCGAGCCTTGGAGGACTACTGACTGAGTCAACACGGCGTACGCGGATGTTAAAATTCCTCATCCGGGTGAAACCGCAACGGTTGGCTGCGACGATCCCCTTTGCCTTCTCCTTGTACCGTCAAGGCGGGACTCCCTGAAAGGTTAACGCAGCTGTCACAATCCGGAGTCGGTCAACAAACAAGCCAACACGACGGACGTGGGTTTGTGGAATCATCCACATGGGCGGCGGGTTTGTGGTATCATCCTCATGTGACACTTTTCTCCCTGCCCCTCGTTCTCTTCCAGGGTGAAACTATCCACATGGATGAGCTCTGCTGATCCGCCAACCATGTCATAACTGATCGAGGAGGCTTCGGTCAACGTGGGTGGGCGATTCTTAACTGACTTGTAGCAGTGCTCTCTTGAACGTGTCGATGATCATGGCAAACCACCGGTATTTCCTCGTCAGCCGCAGTAGCAGCACCTGCTGAACAGGACCCCACCCCTCCCTCACCACCAATCCGCTCTCTTGACCATCTCTCCCCCATGTCCCAAGAGGAGTTGACAATTGCTCAGTTGACTGCCCACATAATTTTAAGCAAGAAGAATTCGAGAAAAATTCATATATTTATGAGATAGAAAGGACGGCATTGGTGATAACTTGATGCTGATACCAGCAGACATCAGGCAAGACGGATGGTCTTGTCTGAGAGCTTCAAGTCAACGCCACGCCAAATCTTGATGTCCCAATGAGATACATTATTCACATGCATTGCTGCCGCAGTTAATGCGGGAATTTCAAGGCTCTAATCGAAACATGCAATAGCATCAATCATGTGGGATAAAATACAGTACACAACGGAGACAAGCCTCTCTCGCTCTCTCTCTCTCTTTCTCTCTCGACCCACTCCCTCCACACCCTCCCCCCTTTCCCCTTCGCTTCCTCCATAGAAGCTAGAACAGAGTATATACCCAGTCTAGGTTGTGGTCTTACCAGTGACCTTCCCCGCTATCCAACCCAACCCATCATAGAGTCCAGCGCCTGTGAGGGCGCAGCAGGCCTGGATGTGCCAGTCATGGCTCTTGATGCTGTGAAGCGATAGAGCATCTGTAATCTCTGCAGGAGACATGGCCTCCTTCAGATCCTGCTTGTTTGCGAAAACCAGCACAGCAGCTTGCAGGAGATCATCATGCTGGAGCAACCGGAAGAGCTCATCTTTCATGATGGAGATGCGCGCCCGGTCAGTGCTGTCGATTACCGCAATGACAGCGTGCGTGCCACGGTAGTATGTCGCCCATGAGGTCCGCAGGCGCTCTTGCCCACCAAGATCCCACACCTGTTTGTGATTGATGAAAGGAAGCAGATGTTTCAATTTACAGAAGAAATGGAAGGAGAAGATGCTTGCAGATAAATCATAGCTCCCACCCTTCTCTCTCTAGAAACAGTGTGAAACCTAGTGAGTCAAGACATGGATGATGGCAATGAGAAAACTCTTCACAACAAATTCCCTTTCTACCAGACCTCACTTCCTCCCACCCTTCTCTCTCTAGAAACAGTGTGACACACAGCAAACCAAGACATGGATGATGGCAATAAGAAAGCTCCTCACAATTAATTCCCTTCTACCAGACCTCACTAGCAACATTAGTCTCTGAGCATCGTCCCCAGCATGCACAGATCTAATATGCTGAGCATATACCATGAAACATTGCGTCGGAGGAGGAAAATAATGGGAGCCCAAGTTCCACTGACTGACCTTCGTCATCAACACTCCATGGCTAACCAAAAAGCAGCCTAGAAACTTTCAACTTCTTATCGTCTGTAATATTTCCTCAAAAAGATGGCAAATCCCCAGAAGCCATATTGTTAGTTTCTGTCATTTGTCAAACAGGTTTAGACGCCCACTGTAGCTACTTCCACTGGTAAACCTGAAATCCTCTGCTGCTGAAACCATAGGAATCAGCCCTCAACCGTTCTGACTGTAAGATCTCAGTTCAACATAAATTATGAGTCATATGCTACCCTCATGACTATTTGAAGACCAGACAAGATAAATAAATGGGCCAAACATCATCCCATTATTAGGTAGGCTAACTCAACACGCTCCAGCGTCAGAGCTGAAGGGGATGTCATCTGGTGATCACCACGCGAATGGAAGTGAACAAGGGAAGCGTGGGTAGATGCTGCGGGTCACAGAAGTTTATGATAAGCGTAGAAAAGATTGATAAACCTTCAGACTTGGGATTTTTTACAGTATTGGCTAATAGTCAAACGCTATGTTTTGAGTGATCTCAGCACTAGGTTAAGGTTCAAGTGCTACTTGCAGAATGAAATGAAGGGCTAAAACGAAGGTGCCCAGCTCTCATTCGAAGAAGCGTCCTCTAACCCATATGGGATATAATATTCAAATATCAGAGAGGAAAAAAGTCAAAGGCACCCAAGTTTTTCAAAGGTTGATTTCAATCCTAACTGGATGAGTCAACTAGGAACTGAAGTGTCCGAGTGTATTCCTCTTAGATGCATTCTAGCCCAAGCATGCGCACATCGGAAACACATGGCCCCAGTTTTCTAGTCCTGCATCAGATTTCAACCACATGTCCATTATTTCTATTTTAGTCCTATAATTGATTTTACCATGAGCCAAGGATTCAATCAAACATTTCTGTCCTCAAACGTTACGTCATTGCAATCGTTTCTTTGCCTAGAAGATAAATCACTGCAATGCTTTATCACACAAGGTAATTTCTTCCAAAGATGAGCCCTCAAGAAATGAATATACAATTAGAAGATAGAACTTGCCAACTCTACTATCAAGTCGAAAAATGCATTTTAGTTTCCCAAGACATGAAATAATCCATCTATAGAAGACTAAATTGAGTCAGCAGTCTTCTTTAGGCATTCCAAAGCTCCGTCAAGCAGAAATAGCCATATGGAGGCTTTCCTTGAAGTCGAAAAATTGCAAAAAGGAGATGAAGTTCATATTTTTTACTACGACACTAGTGTTGATAATTTAGTAGCAACATGGACAATGGCAAACTAAAAATAAAAGTAACCTACTTGTTCAAGAAAAAAATAGGATTTGATGCAGAAAAATCCCAACAAACCAACACAGCTCAAGGAAAAAACGAAACTCAAGGTCTAAAAGGCAAAACTTGGAGGACCCAAAACTAAGCATTATGCTACCCCATGCAGGTCCATTTCAGCATCTCTCATTAGAAGCGTTTAATTTTTTACAGAGTCTTCCTACTTATCAACTGTAATAACTCTTAATTTTTTGTGTTTCGAAACAACAAAAGCCAATCTGAGGTGAATCATCATAATGACCTTGGTTTGAAGATTAACCTGCCAGGTTTCATGGATCCTCTTCATCCCAAAGATTTTCTTCATGAAGGATTTCAAATTGTGTGAAGTTTCAAGGAAAAAAGAGGTGGAATTTGTGGTGAAAATAGAATGGCAGTACATCAGCATAGGAGAAAACACATGCCCTTGAGGGGAGAAGAACTAGTATTTAGTTGAATGATAAAGGAAGAATTGTTAAAAGCTAGATTTTAGCCTCCTGATTATGAACATCCTCTATCAGCAATACCAAACATGGTAATCAATTAGTTGCTGAATAATCTCTGAAAACTGAAAATAAAAACTAATTGCTCATTCCCACTATTTCATTGAGCTGACTAGCCACTCAAACTATCAATTTCTCGTAATTTTATTTTTTTTCCTAATATACAAAAAATTAAAGTACCAAATGTCTAAATAACTGGATCTATTGACTATTAGTTTAGGCTGACAAGCGATATTACAGTTCAAAGAATCAAATCTCCTCAAAAAATCTACCAATGAATTACTCAACTAGTTGATTCAACATTCTTAAAAACATATCAAACACATTAGATAAATCGGATGACATCACTGAACACTCATGAATACCTTCTATGGTAGCAACTTTCAAATCAATTTCTACAAATGCCTTAGATCGAAAAAACATATGATAAATATCTTTGATTGTACTATATCTTGTTGACCACACAACAAGATATGAATATAAGTCAACCTCCATTCTTCTCTTTTCGTATTCGTAATATATCCACAGTATATGCCTCATACTCTAAGACTAACTCTTTCTGCGACCTCTCTTCCACTTGTTAAAGAATATGACCCTCTTTACAGTTCATTTTGTCATGAGGCAAAATAGGCATGCGGTTGCTCCAAATATGAAATCAGTGTGGTGTTAAATACCTCTAATGAGAGAGATTGTTAGGTAAGTCCTATGATACGCAGAACTCTGGTAAAAGGCTTGTATTAATGTTGGTGCTACCCTAGAAGATGGGTTGCTACATTCATGTAGCAGCAATGGGCTGTCAGCAACACTGCTGCCGATTGATCACAAACAGATCACACACATGGGCACTGAGTGCTCATTCCGAACATTTAATCTTGCCAATTGGATACCATCCACCAAACATTCAGACAAGTTCCCTTGTCCCCTTGCTTTGCAATACATATTCCATAGAAAATGCACCCCAAACTCAGAACAGGCTTCTGCAACGAATCCAGGTTACCCTAAGACATCAGATTCGCCTTTGGATGCTAGGATGTAGGATATCCTGTTGGATCAAGTTGCACTGACATAAAAAAGGAATCTAGAAAAGAGTATTTTTGGAATAACATAAATTATTCTCCGTTAGTCCAGGATTATAAAAAAGCGAACATAGCAAGCCTTTGTCCAACTCAAAGGAAGGACTAAGAGGAATAAATTAAGTGTAAAAATTCTGCTCAGGGGCACAATACATTGATTCTAAAAAAGTTGAAATGCTTCAGATCAGGAAGAAAAAGATCGGAAAATAATCCAGGATCAGGATAGGAAAATAAAATTAAGTACATCTAAATAATGAGATATAGACACTGAAGTCTAAACACTGGACACAATGAAAGGAAAAAGCCAATTTAGTATCAGTGAATATTTGGTAATGGTTTATCAAAGGGTTAAAACATGAGACAAAAATTAGAGCATTTAGATCCGGAATTAATGATAGAATCAATCCGATTAACCAGAATAAGACCAAAAGCGACACAACAAAGATTGGTGGAAATAAACTACTAGGTTGTACTTGTCTGAATAAAGGCATAAAGGACCAGACTATGTTCTGGAACGAGAGGATGCAAATGGAGAATTTTTGTCTGAATAAGAACATGCAAAAGGATGTTCATAATGGAAACGACTGTGTTAGTGGTAGAATTTTTCATACTCGAGCAAGGCTTCATTAACAGCTTTAAATCAGTCTAATACATCCATAATAATTAAAAAGGGACTACATTCTTGGGATGGTAGCAGTTGCAGTCATGCAGTATGAGGTGACTTAGATGAACTAGATATACATCAAAACAGAAACAGAACCATATATGGAAATGATGATTGGACATTTCAGTCAGTGCATTGGAAATAATGGTTTCTTAAAGTGGAGTACCCAAAGAGGGTTCACTCAGATTAAAGTTTAATCAACTTCCGTCCAAGCTAGAACTCTGGCTCAGAAATTTACACGAGAAACCCCTGCAGAAGAAACCGACCTCAAAGACATTTATCAGATCATATCCAACACTTCGCGAGAAAGAATAGTATAGTTTTAACGCTGGCGGGTGGCCTCAGGAGAAATGGATTCGACTTCTTTCCAATGGTAGGTAAGAGGAATTGGAATAGACGGATTTACGTGCATCAAAAGGAAAAAGTGAGATCCATGTCCAAAAAATGAGGGCATTGAGCTGAAGGACGTTTCAGACATCAAAAGTGCAGAAGACAGAGAAATAGACGGCTTTAAAAAGGATAAGGAAAAGAAAAAGCAAAAAGGAAACGTTGAAAGAAAGAGACAAGAATCAGGCATTTTATGATAATCGCTAGTACTGAGAAAAGATAATTAATCGCTAATCATGCGAAAGGTGAAAACAAATTAGTGGAAGAGAAGGGAAAATTTCAGACAGTTCTATCCACTCCTTTAAAATGTGTTTAGGAATATTAACTGGAAACAACTATACTCGTCAAGATGCAGGACATGGTTTCAGTACCTTGACAAGAAACTCTTGTCTACATTAAATATACGAGATAGTAACAGAAGAATTCAGTAATTTCAAGATGTCAATGCATTTTTGTGATAACATGACTGCCTCAATGCGTCAGCGATGTATTTTCATTGTCCTTTTCATGTAGTATTCAGTAAGTCGACAAGGCAATACCTGTGTGTCATTCAAAACACGTCTAACAGAAATGTTCCACAGTCTATAGCCAAATGGCCATCCTACTAGCATCTAACACATCATTCCATTCCAGAAGGAAGAAGGATAAAACTCCAAGAAACATTGGGTTTTACCTATCTCCTGAGAAACACACTAACCTTCAGAGCACCCAAAGAATCATTCTTGCAAAATCAATAGGATGCCAGTGAATGGTTGTGGAACAGATAAACCGGATAAGATTCACTACCAATAGTAGTCTATAGCAGTTTTCATAAATATTTAATTGTTTCGATATGAATCTTAAACATGAAGTGATATAGTCCCACTTTACATAAAAATGACCAGAAACATGCACTTCGGCAAATCATAAACCGCATACACCTTCCATATTCCATACCGTCATCCAGATGGAGAGAAAATACTAAGAGGCCTATTTTATTCTACATCATAAAATCTAAAGAAAAGTATAATGGACTATGATGTCTCTGATAACAATCAAAAGCCTAGGCCAATTTAAAGGCAGCACAAACTCCAGGGAGTTTTTTCGAAAGGATGGAAAATCTGTTTTGCCCAAAAGTGGCACGTATATTAACTGCAAAGTATGTTTCAGTGATCAGCATACGTTTGCACCCATTTACCGGAAAATTTAAATATTCCCAGAGAAAAATAAACCATCAAACTAAGTTTCTCACATTCTCAACGGAAGAAAAAATTAACTTTTGTATCACAGCGGAAGGTCCACACGTCTAGATGAATGAGTACCATTCCCTTTTGTATTCCAATACAAATGCAACCATTATAGTGTCTCGGCAAATAACGCATCCGTTACTCTCGCACGCTTTGTCAAGACAAAGGGGGAAATCGGTGTTGACTTCTCAAGACCCACATCACAATTACGGAAAAATTGCCCTTTGTCTTGACAAAGGGCATCGCTTGGAAGAAACAAAGCACCATGAGCAAGGTAGGAAATTCGCAGATCGAGATGAGCAGAGAACACCGATTTTCTCACCTCAAACCTGATGTTCTTGTAGACGAGTTCCTCAACATTGCTCCCCACAGTGGGGTGTGTGGTGACGACCTCCCCCAGATGTAGTTTATAGAGGGTGGTCGTTTTACCGGCGTTGTCCAGGCCTACGACCACGATCTTGTACTCCTTTGCCGGGAAAAGCATGAACCAGAACCTTGACATGAAAGCCCCCATTACCTTCAAGGCAACAGATCCTATAAATCTCTACACGATATCAGACTCCAATCGGGAGAAACGCGGATTAGTCCTAGTTCGACAACAGATTTCAATTCGAAAAAGAATGAGAAAAGAGAAATAGATAGCGTATGCAACAACTACATGAGCCAAAGCAATCTAGGAGAAAATTAAAAACCTACGGAATCGAGTACTCTGGTGTGCTGCGGAGGGCAGAGAAGAACGCGTGAAGACAGGATCCGAAAGTCGAAAGGACCTTCCCTCCCAGTCCTAACTAAGCCACCCGGAATTGGCCGATTCCGACCCAAATCGGGATTGGCAGTAGCCGTTCCGATTGGGCCCCCGCCGCCACCGCCACCCCCATGGCTGAAAGGCGAAACTAAATATAATTTGGATAATAAGAAGGTTCCACATCCGATAAATTGCCTATTTCTGGGTATGTTCTCGTTCTTCCTTATTGTAGTAACACCATGCATTGCTCTATTTTTCAAAGATTTAATTCAGAGATGGGTTACCTAGATTTGGAGTTTTGCCCATTCATTTCCAGACTTTTGGTTCAGATTCACAATTTTTCATAATTTGTTCCCTAACCACAGGAAGTGACGAATCTAACCCTAGAGAGTTCTAACCACGAATACTTGCTATATAATGGTCAAACTACATGATTAAAACTATACACAAAGGAGACCCTAACCTTTTCTATCCAATGTAGCTCTCAATTGAAAAAAGCATGGTAACCAATTAAACTCTATGTTTATGCAATTAAACAATGGCAATGATGATCACCAATATATTATGATTATTTTAAAATCATATGTAACATTAGGTGGTCTATCCAATGTAGCTATCAATAAAAAAAACAATATCACCAATTAAACTATATGTTTATACAAATAATCAATGGCAATGATCACTAATACATTAAGATTCTTTTTAAATCAAATGCAACACTAGGGGGTAAAATAATAGAACCCAAAACTAGCTACACCTTATCTGAATACTCTCCCTTACCTTCATGGATTAGCTGCCCTCCATCCTCTCTTCATCTTATTGACCACTTCCCATATGTGCTTGCACCCCTTTTTCTGTGTGATGGGTCTAGTGTCCCATAACCCAAGCTCAACCTAACAAAGTGGTTGGAATGCTTCCCATGCATGTCCCTTGCCTCTATCTATGTCTCACATAGGCATTGAACCTCTAAGCTTATATATCCCTAGCCAACATCACTTTCTATCAATTTTACTAGGCTCTCCATCATATCTTGCTACCATGATATCTAGTTTAGACTCTTCACTTGTTAAAGTGATGGACATATTTGACTCTCTTTGAATTTGATTGGCTATTCTATAACCATTGAAAGGGTAGGATTTTGAAGTTATAAAGTTCCTCACCTAAAATATGGCTATTACAAGCATTTAGAAGTTCCAAAATTTAATGTCTTTGGAGTGCAACTTTTAATATGAAAGTCTCTTATATGACACATTTTTCCATAAGTAGTTTAAGTCCATGGAATCATTGATAGTTATAATTTAACCTCATTTATTGAAATGGCAATCTTTAAACAAGCTTGGTACTAAATCTTGTTCTATGTATTAGATAATCTAAGGAAAAGTGTAGAGTAGATTCTCTAGGAGAGACTTTAAGAGTATAGGAAGCCTATGGTTGTACTAAACCAACATTAGAATCCCAAGTATTTATTTCCATATTACTTGTTTTTGGTGTTTTTAAGAATAAAACCCATCCCCCCATGCCATTATTTTGAGAAAATTCCATCTACGAACATCAAATCATGTTTATAAGAGAATCATTTATAAATAATGACTTTGCTTATGAAAAGATTGCGGAAAAGTAGTGACCATGACATCTATCACGAACCCAAATATTTATCTAGAATTTGATTTAGGAATTCATGATTTTTTCTCTCTGATTAAGTCTCTTTAGTCTACCGATCATGTTAACCCTACTTACCTCTGATTAGGTCTCTTATTGTAATTCCCAAGTATATTGAGGTAGAACTCAACTACAAGTTAGAAAGGCCTGCAACTCGTGGTCCTGACGTTTTGAAGTTATGAAAGCATTGACTATAGAAGCTTGGAGGCCCAAAACGCATTAAAGAGCCAAATTCAGCCTACTAGGCACATAACGTGTGGATAAGGCATTACTTTCACCATTTTCATTTTAATTTAGTTTGTCTTTCTACCTAATTAATTATGTCTTTAGGAGATGAATAACTTATTTAAAGACAAGTGCTAGAACATCAGATGTTCAAATAGTAATAAAAATATTGAGGAATACTATAGACAATTGCCTTGTCCAATGCTGAACAAAACCAGCTAGGAAATTTCATAAATTAACCATACCAGGAAATCTATTGTTAAAAAAATAATTGGCAAGTTTAGCCAAGCTAAAGGTTTCATGTCTACTGATCAATTAGCCATATTTAACCTCATTATATTTAATCACGATGACTATAGTCTTATCATGGACTAAAGGCCCAAAGAGTATTTTGTTGATCTTTTATCTAATAGAGATGAGATAATTTGAATTACTTTGGTATCAATAAGTTCAGAAATTATAGGAACTAGGGATTCCCAAAAATATCTAGTAAGCTAGAGTATCGGTCTTGGATTTCATTGTGAGATTTTGATTAATTATTGGCTTCAAAGGTATAGCCATGCCTTCTTGATGGGAGTAACTTTCTTATTCATCATTCTTGATCATCAATGAAATACTCCACCACTTGGTTGGCACAACGAGATGTTTTTCGTTATCAACTATCCAAAAGATGTGGTGATTAGCTCAATTTAGGGGTAGTTGTGACTCCCATCATGCATCTTGTCTTGATGCCCTTGGGCAGCTAGCCACTCCACTTGACATGAGATTACTTGATTATCTTGACCTAATTTTATAAATATTATTAATTAGAAATGTTGTATCAAGGTTAATTAGAGTATTAAAAATATATCTGAAGATGCCATGGAATAGTTCTAAGTTTGTTTTGAATCACCTATTAATGCTTAATATAGCCTTACTATAAATAGTACAAGTGATGATACTTTAACCTATGTTGTAGGAGATAGCATCCCTATAAATTGAAGTGGTGACAATGTTTAATTATAGAAAATTTCATTTTTAATTTCATCCCTTAATTAATGGGTTTCATTGATATAGTTGTAGGAGTTTATACGATTGAGTTAGACCCTACGATTGCTATGATTATTCTTATTATTCATCTATGCACTAATCCTTGGTCTCTACTTGAAGCTCCTAGAAGATCAATGATTTTTGTATGCTTAGGGTGGAAAATAAAGTATGTGATTTATTTCCCAGCTGTTCTTGCAATATTTTCCTACAACTAATTATCATGAATATAAAAGTTAAGGGTACACTAACTTTGAACATGTGACCCTCAACTTATGCTAGAAAGTCAACGTAAGCACACTGTTGTTATACATATTTATCCTCTGTTTCCTTGATATGAGTACATGACGTGAATCATGCTTAACTGGTGTACGTCTAGACGAAAAAGAGTTTGCAAAATATATTATTTTTCTGATTTGTGGCGCCTTTGGTTGTGCTCGAGGTATCTAAACTAGAAAATTTTGGCAGCTATAATATGTATGCATGATTTTTCCTTACACACTCCATGTGGTATGTGCAAAACCTTTTTCCAAAGTTTTCTCTTAATGCTTCAAAATCATAGGGATGCTTGTAATCATTTATCCTTGTAGTATCCAACACTAGTTTCTACATCATTTATGAACGACTTGCATTTTCTCTATCATGTATCTTTCTAAGGAATTGTACTTGATCTTCAAGATAGATGTTAGAAGTGCGAATATATTCCCATTTTTATGTCAGAATCATTATTAGATATGCATCAAAACCATCAGACTCTTGTTGACTAAAAATTTGATAGGGGTCAAGAATTCAAAAAGTCTAGGTATATCCATGAAATAAAAATTATAAACATAAGAAAGTATTTCTTCTAGCTATTGGAGGATCAAGTTTGGCTAGTTTATAGTTTCCCTCCTTCCATTTATTAAAACTCCACCTTACAAAAATGAAAGCTTGCTTTTGTATGTTTAAAGGTTCAATCTCTAGAAACCTGTCTTCTCAAGCACTCTCTCTTTTTTAGGGTGTGTTTTGTTTTATATTTCATTTGACCTAACAAATTATTAAGCAAGGCTTGATGAGGTGCGAAAGATAACAACTTCAAGCAAGTCAGTCTAGCTATATTAATGTAAAAATAACCAAGCAAAGACTGAAGAAAGAACTTAGAGGAGTTGAATAGGATTGAGAGTAGATAGAATCACAACAAATTAATTGTCTCACATGATTGATTTTATAGTACAAGAAGATCATTTTCACATTAAATTCACAAAAACAAATCTTCTCACTTTTCTTTTTTTGATTTTATTATTTAGCTAAAACTTTCAACAAATCTTTTTTTGATTTTATTAGTTAGCTAAAACTAATAAAATCTTGGTCTCTAGAAGTTTATGCATATGGAGCCCATTTCAATCAATCCACACTAGAAGCGTTCCAAGTCAGATTCCTACTTCGTTGAGACCAAGATCTATGCAACTTTACCAGATACACAGCAAGATGCATGAAGAAGGATTTATTTTAGAGAACTTTTGTTGGGGGAAGGATATGGCTTTTGAGGAAGGGAAATGCGATTGTGCCACACATAGGAATTGATGAGTGCTCCGACCAAGGAACTGGCCGTTGTGTGAGTAAGATGGAATTTGTGGAGCCAATGACAAGAGGCTGCCTTTTGGCTGTAGATACTGTGTAGCCAAAGCCGAGGAAGGTGTGGGTAGACGAGAAATAGTCATCTCCATGGGTGCTTTCGCTGTCCACTCTGTGCTGTATGTTAAGTGCAGGCTGTAGATACCACTCTGTGGGCTTCCAATCCAAACAACAGGGGACCTGGGCCAACTCGTCTTTAAAGAAAGGTGGAAGAAGCCCTCAATTTACAATCTTTTTATTTAAATATGCGGCATCTGCAGGAACGGACTGGCGGAGTGCTGATCCGCCTCAGACTGTAGGTGCCTTTGTGCAAGTGCCAGGGCTCATCCCCCCCTCCCCACCTGGCTGGCGGCAACTTGAAATCTACCCTGCCTTGAAGAGAAAATGTGTCTCTGCGGACCACGAAAATATTTTGAGCACTGAAACCTCATTCCCATACGTTCTTATCTGAATACCCATCTGCAAAATATACAAAATAATAGTTTAACCGGGCAAGCCACCGATCCCAGAAAGAAAATTGCCTGCAAAGGTAGAAGACAGCTGCCATCAAGACGTGTATTTTCTACAAGGCTGAATGCAAACTGAGAATAATAATACTACGGCAGCAGCTCTGAAGAACTTCTCCGAATCTATAAATTTCCATCGGCACCGTATCGGGATTCGCATGACAGCAAAAATGGACAATAATTCTAAGTATTAAAGAATACGAATATCTCTTTCGGTTACTCTTTCTGCAGACTTAAAGTTGCCTTTTTGAGCGTTTTGATCTTATCCTGGATACTCCCGTGGATGGACGGGTCTCGAATGAACCTGGGATCTCACCCTGCTTCCTAGATGCATGAGTGGGCTCACCTTCATTTCCGTTGGGGACTGATTTCTCCATCGAGTAGCCGCTGGGTAGAAACCTCGCTGGATGGGCCTCCTCTTTAATATAGAAGCCATGCTTCTGGTAGAGGGAAAACCATAGCCACTCAGTTGCACGAGTGCGTGGAGTTCCCATAGTTCCATCGGTCCTCTTCCGTCCTGTCTACGCCAATAAAAACTTCGTGGTGAGATAATCCAATTTCCTAAACCTACCCACTCGACCATCTCGCTCCATTTCCTACTCTTTCAAGGCACAAAGGGTCAGCCTTCCTTAGTTCGGCCTCGCCTGCAACGGCGTCGTACTCCACCCTCTCAGGGACTGATGGCTTCCATGGCAGCCGGTTTTGCACGGACTCGCAGTCCAGTTGCCCCATTCCACAGAACCCAACCGATTCATTTCGGCGCCCACCTTGAATTCTCCGTCAACCGTTTCCCCGGCGTTGGTACTTCACGGAGGTGTGAGGGGAGGGGGATTCGCGCCGCCCTCCGAGTGCAGAGCAATCTCATTGATCCCGATGGTGGATCGCTGATGAACCTGATAGAGCCCGATGGCCCGGGATGGGAGACGAAGCGGCGAGAGGCGCTGTTGTCCAGCATACCCCAGATCAAGCTATCCAGGATCGACCTCGAGTGGGTCCACGTTCTCAGTGAGGGTTGGGCGAGCCCACTCCGCGGTTTCATGAGAGAAGCCGAGTTCCTCCAAACACTTCATTTCAACTGTCTCCGCCTGGAAGATGGGACGGTTGTGAACATGTCCGTGCCTATTGTGCTGGCTATCGACGATTCGCAGAAGCAGGCCATCGGTGAAAACAGCAAGGTCACACTGGTTGATGACAACAACAAGCCCGTTGCGATTTTAAGCAAGTCAGCTGGCAACCTTCTTGTTATTTTCCCTTTTGATTAGAATTATATTAATCTCTGCTAATTTCTAATTACCGTGTTGCTTCTTGACAACTGATTTCTTCTTTGAGCATTTGTGACAAAAGTGCTGAAGTGATTCCGTGCATTTGTCTTGGCTAGGGATGATACAGCGGCTCATTTTAGCCGAAATGATATTAGAACTTAAGATAAAGTTTCATGGGAGACAATCATACAAGCTTTGACAATATAAAGTATTATTTATCAATCGGGTGTTACCCATGTGTCAGCTTATTTTTGTCATTAAAAATATATATTTAACTGGTACGTTGAGTTCTATGTATGTATTGTCTTGGTAATACTGAATTCTCTTTTGATGAGAACTACGAAAGTTTTACTTCTTTGAAGTTTCTATTATGGTGTGCATGGTTGAATATTGGTTATATACTTTCCCTTTAGGAAATAACATCGTTTTGAGCAGTATTTATTTAAGGAAAAATAGATTGGTTACTAAGGCTAGAGTAAGGCTATGCTGTGAATGGATTTTGTGTTTCTTGACCTTCAGTTATGTGCAACATCCAATAGAAGGTGAAGTTCAATATTTAGGAACCTGAGACATTTTCTGTTTTGCTAGGAAGAACTGTATTTTGATATTATTCAAGTGCAATATTTTTGGATTTTTGAGGAAACTTGATTACCTTTATTTTCGAGGTGCTTCATTCATTCCAGATTATTTTCACAGTTATCAATGGAGATAGCTATGGATCTACTGTCCGTACACTCACCACGGACTCTCTGATGAATTTCAACCTTGGCTTCGTTGTTTCTTGGAAGAAAGTAATAATTTGATAGAGGGTATTGGCGATTGATGCCATTTTCTGTAAGGGTTTGCCCCATAGTCTTTCTTATTTCATTAAGTGCACCATAGGGGATAGTTAAATATAAAATGTGTCTTTATCTTTTTTGGAAATTTAAATGCATGCCATTCGTCTAGTGCCCCCAAAGGTGATTAATTTTTTCTTTTAAGCTGTTCAGATATTAACTGGGTGTTTTCAGTCATCTAAACATTGCTCATGAACAGGTCTGAGTTGGATTAAAAGAAATCAAACTGATGAATTTGACATTTTTTGTGCTTAGCCTCATTAATAAGGTCTTTTGTGTGCCGTTTCTGCACACTATTGTGCTTGCTGTCGATCATTTGACTACATGGCCTGGTTGCTTTTGAGATCTGTCTTTTAAATATTTTCTGTTGAATTTATTTTATAATGCACATCACTGAAATGTGTTGATGCTCATATTTATTTTGATAGTCTGTCAACCCATAATCTTTCTTATTTTCTTTTAGTCTTGCAAAATTTAGAAATTGGCTGTTTGTTATTTTACCACGTTTTACTAGATTCCCATCCAAAACACATTGTGTAGAACTACTGGATTTTTTTATATTGTTTTTTCCGTGATAGTGCTCACCTACGAAATTCTTTCTTGCTAATGTACATCTAGTATGGCTGTGGTAATCTTCATATATTGTCTCTAAAACTATTTGGATTCTAAGACTATGGTTACACAAATGTCGATGCATTATGCTTCTAAAGATTTTATTCATTTAGTGAGGTCCCTTTTCCTGAGACTTCGTCAAACTTTATAGAACAAAGATTTTTTCTTCTTTCCCCTATTATTTAAAACTTTAGGCAGTTTGAAAAATGGAGAGGCAAGAAGTATCTATCTTCAATGATTTTGAGTTTATAAGATCAATATTTTCCAGGTTAATGCATCTAGTGTATCCATTTGTCAATTTTCTACTTGATTTTATCAACAACCTTTGTTCAAGCTCAAACCTTTCACAGGAAAGTTACCCCTCTTACAAGCCACAATCTGGCAGATGTATTCTAAACAATTTCTTGAGATCTTAGATCTTGCTGTTAGCATTTAAAAACCAAGGCTTATTTATTGATCTTACCATCAGTGCGTCGAGCATAGTGTACTATTGACATAGCAAGTTTGCGATTTTCATTTTGTTTCTGCCATCTGTCAGTCAATTTTTGAGCCTTGCATTCTTTGAACTGTTCATGTCGAACTGAGCTTCTGACCCACCAAATGCATGCCATCGTATCATTATTGTCGCTAAAATGTCACACCTGGAGATAACTTTTACATCGAAGCATCTGGTGCTCGTTGGTTATGTTGAATTTTTGGTTAACTAGGATAAGTCAGATATCGACAAACTCTATCATTGAATATTTGAATATTCTATTTTAGACCAAGGTTTTGTAACATATTTTAGACTAGGAGCTGGTTAGAAGCAGTATTTTAATGAGCTAACTGGATGGGGATAGTATCAATCTGTCATTATCCATTTTTCGTAAGTAATCTTTAATTGTTCAGGAAATCAGCGTTCCTACTTGAATTGAATCCTTTGTTGTCTCGTGGTGGTCCCTGCTGAAGGACAGCCCCTGTTAGTAATAAAAGGGCAAAAAAAGGAAGGTTCAGGCATGTAGTATCCCTAACCCTTTTGATTTCCAATGAACACGAGTTCTGTCAAACATTGTTTCGTTCCCTAGCTGAGTGAGCACTTTGAATCATCAGTTTTTTCTTTGGGGAGTGCTTTGACAACTCGCATTCAATGAAGTGAAAATGTAGATGGTTGGAGTGCTTTGACAACTCGCAGTCAATGAGGTGAAAATGTCTTCCCCGTACTATTCTTCTGTGGTCCGAAGAGCAGATGCCAATGCTAAACACATTGCAGTGCAATGTGGCGGTTGCAGCAGTATTATCTAAATAGTATGATAAGAAGCTGGAGTCATAAGATAGTTGAAACATGCACAAAGATAAGCATTTCAAGGATAGTTTGAAAAAAATTTCACGCCGTATTCTACTTCTAAGAACTTAGCAAAGAGCCTAGGATATGATGCCTAATTTCTTGGTGTCACCAGACTAATTGGTAAGACTTGATGATAATGATTATTCTTTTTGAAGATATTTACAGAGTTTATCTACCGAAAAAAAAATATTAATATTGACCTTTGTGCCCCCAAATGTTTCTCTTATTGCATGTTGTCAATGTAGTCTCATCCCTCAGTAGATTCTGTTTATGAGCATACACTTTATACGGTTTCTAGATTATTTATAGGCTCCCTGTGCGTGCACCTTTTTATGTTATGTTGAGGTCTCTTGGTCCAATTTTTCTGAACAGCCTTTATATGCCATTGCACAGGTCATTTTCTTTCACTTTACCCTGAAGATTTGTGCATCTTCTTACCCTTGATGAACTAATATTCCAAAAATATGTTTGTAGATGGGATAATGCTGTGGCCTCTACGTCTCTGAATTTTTGTGCTAGAATAAGTGATTAAATCAATATTTGCACTTCCTTCAGTAAGATGTGACAGTCAGTACGACGGATTTATAGAAGCACTCGGCAAGGATTCATGTGTGTTTTTGAATATTGGATGGAGATTCAGTTTTCTGATCAAGTGTGGCCGTGCTTTAACATTAGTCTACAGAAAAGGGGAAACGGATGATTGATGCTGTTGTTGTTGCTTTAAGGTTGAATATCTGTGCTACGTGGTTGAATGCTTCCTTTTGTCAATGACAAAAACACTCATATGACTGTAGCACTTAAGTTTTCTAGCTAATTCTATGTCTACTGATAACCCTATGTTGCGGTGGTATATCGTTATGGAAAAGGAGATATTGATGTATTCCTAAAATAAATTTGATTTTTTTCGGAGGATAAAAGGTAATTAAAAGCTACTGTTTCATTTTTTGAAATATAATCACTTTGGGCTTTAGTGCTCGCCAATGTGCACTAGTAATCTTGTTTCTTAGTACTGTTCTATGGTTCTACTATATATTTTTTTAATTTTTCTCTGAGGCAACCTTATCTCTTATGAAGGATATTATCACTTGGTAAGCCTTCAATAACAATATATCTTGTACACAGAGGTGGTTCATCGTTGACTGTGCTCATAGTAAAACTGGGAGTCGAGGAATAGAAGCTAGAGTTAAGGGACGGCCTTTGCTTCTTGTTTTTTCGTGACATCACATTCTATCTGCGCATGAGTTATATCGATGCACCAAGAACACCTGGGCTGAAGCATTTTACCATGTTCTAACTCCATTGCCTGCGTTTCCTTTGCTGCCTTGATATGTCAGTACATGGTTTTGCCTGTGTTGTTTCACTTCATTTTGCTCTGTTTTATGTTTGAACTCAGCGTTGAGATATACAAGCACAATAAAGAAGAAAGGATAGCAAGAACATGGGGAACAACTGCCAAGGGTCTGCCTTATGTTGAGGAAGCTATAACTAATGCTGGAAACTGGCTGATTGGAGGCGATTTGGAGGTCTTCGAGCAGATCAAGTACAATGATGGCCTAGATCGGTATCGGTTGTCTCCTTCTGAACTCCGTGAAGAGTTCACGAGGAGAAATGCAGATGCAGTGTTCGCCTTCCAGCTTCGGAATCCAGTGCACAATGGTCATGCTTTACTTATGACTGACACTCGTCAGCGTCTGCTGGACATGGGATACAAGAATCCGATTCTACTGTTGCATCCGTTGGGAGGCTACACAAAAGCTGATGATGTGCCACTTTGGTGGAGAATGAAGCAACATGAGAAGGTTACTACCTGTTTTGCTTTTGATGGTCGGTTATAGTTGTAGCGCCATGCTAATCAAAGCATTTGATCACACCTTCAAGTTGGATCAAACTTCTCACCCTTTCTTCTGAGTGCCCGAAGCGCCTCAATTATTTGGGTGCTGAAAGATTGCCGTTTCAATAACGAAAGTTCCAAGTTTTTAGACCAATTTAGTATGCCATTATTGAAACAAACCCAGTGCGTGGATATTCTGAGCAGGGTGTGCTCCATGTTTCAGGTACTCGAGGAGGGTGTTCTGAACCCAGACACAACAGTTGTAGCGATTTTCCCATCTCCAATGCTCTACGCAGGCCCGACAGAGGTGCAATGGCATGCTAAAGCCCGTATAAATGCTGGTGCTAATTTCTACATTGTGGGCAGGGACCCAGCAGGTATAAGTCATCCTACTGAGAAAAGAGACCTCTATGATGCGGAGCATGGTAAAAAGGTCCTTAGTATGGCTCCTGGGTTAGAGAAGTTGAACATCATTCCATTTAGGGTATGTACACATCTCATTAGACTTCGTCTTCCACATAAATATTTTCATCTTAAGTGCTTGGTCATTTAAAAACGTATCAATTTCGTTTTCTCGAGATTAGTTTAAGTGATATTCTTGTTATAATGTCAAGGGAGAATAATACTAAGTTTTACTCGTGGAGCCTCGTTTCATGATGTAATGGGTAGCTTTCTGGTTTCTTCGTTCAGGTGGCTGCTTATGACAAGAAGCAAATGAAAATGGCCTTCTTTGACCCTTCAAGGTCAAATGATTTCATCTTCATATCAGGCACCAAGGTAAGGCTGATACTCCCATCTCTTTCTATTGCTTGGGCCACATTTGTTTCTTGACTCACCCATCTCTTTCTTCTTAGATGCGAACTCTAGCCAAGAATCTGGAGAGTCCCCCGGAGGGCTTCATGTGCCACGGCGGCTGGAACGTACTTGTTGAGTACTACCGTAGCCTGCTTCCTTCAGAAGGCAGCGGGCTTCGTGAATCTGTTCCGGCTTAGAACTTGCATGAGATAATCGATCGATGCTTCTCTGGAAACTCATATTATCTCAAATACTGCTCACCCATCGCATACTTCTATTGAAGAATTACGTATCGATGATTGTAGCGTTTGCGGCGGATGACCACGCCGGCCTTTGCCATGCATTGGCAAGATCCATTCCAGAAGTTTTATGAATGTTTTCTGTGTGCTATAATGGCTGCTTTGCGACATGCCGTAGTACCATATTTCACTGGTTAATGGCGCTGGAATGGCAGGAGTTAGCTGTTCAGAAGGGCGACGCTCTTCACGTTTCCGCAGGAATGAAGTTCAGCACTACCTTTGAGGAACACATTACCACCACAGAAAGGGAACAACTTACACAGTTGCTATTATCTTTTGCTTCGGAGCAATACATGGCGTAGGTTGGCTTTATTTCGTAAACTGTTTGTGAGGAGTAGCAAATGGGGAGAGACCTCGAAGAACAGCCCTTCAATGTCAACGCTAAATATCCACGCCCTTTGGATAAATCATATCTTTTATCCACATATAATTTGAAATCAGCACAAAATACGCTGCGGCGAACGAACCTGGGATCAAGCGTGCGAGAAAGGATAATGTACCCTCGGAGTTGTGAATGGTGTTAGATTTTGGACCGAGCTGCACATGTCACAAAGCGAAGAACAGAAGCCCGAACAAGTCAGCGCCAAAAACGTGAATTATGCAAAATGCCTGCATAAGGCTTCCTTACTCAGCTGATATTCTAGATTTTGCATGCTCTCCGGTTTCTGGGTTTTGAATTTATTTTTTATTTATTTTAGATAAATATTACCCACTTATTGACCTAAGTCATGAAATTTTTACATCCTATGTTGAACATGTAAGGCATACTTATCTGTATACTTGATCATAACAGAGATATACCATCCATAATAACCATGAACATTTCTGTTTGAGAAACATTGCCATGTTCCAAGTCAACATTTTGAATGAAATATAAAAAATCTATTTAACAAAGTTATAAAACGAAGGCTGAGAAAAATAATGTCCAAGTGTTTCAATAAGTTATAAGTATCAGAAATTTATATTCAAGAAAACAATGTCATGCATTAACTGAACATTTTTATTAAATCTAAATATCTAGCTAACAAAGCCATATACACTAAGGCTGAAAAAAGAATGTCCAAATGTTTTAAAAATTATGAGTATGAGAACTCAAAGAATGAACACAAATATTTGATTATAATTAGAGCGTTACACTCTAGCCCAAGCATATGACTCCACTGGACGATTCTTTTTCATCTTGAAGTCAAGACATTTTAGTCTTTACAAATCAGAGGGTGCATCAATCCTGCAGTAATGACTAATTTCCCATCACCTATAGTAAATTTTGTTAACATTAGTATCTTCAAAACATAATAAATACTTAAAATAGAAAAATAAGGTCATATTGCGAAGTGTGCCGTGTCATGCCGAAGTGGAGATGGAGACAGTAATGATAAGGGTGAAAAGGATGACACTGCAGTCAATAAATACCTTCAGGGGGGAGTCTCCGCTTGCCTTTTTGACACCCGTCACCCAGCAACCCATTATAACTCCATGGCGAAGCGTTCCTCGGTACCACTTAGGCGACTCTATCTCCACCTTGATGTCTTCAAACCCGGCATTTCTAAACCACGAAATATACTCCTCCTTCTTCGGGAAGAGCATCCACGAATCAGCGAAAAACCTGGACAGCCAGAAGGTTGGGTACAGGGGGCCAATCACACAAGCCAGCCCCCCGGGCTTCAGAACCCTGTAGGCTTCTTTGATGCCTCGCTGCGGCTCGGGCCAGTACTCGATGCTGAGAAAACAGTGTACACGATCCTCAGAAATCGACTAAGCCGTCACGGCTAATGCGATCTTGAGACTTACCATCCCGCCGATATATATCGGTCGGCGTAGTCGGTGGGGAAGGGCAGGTTCTCGGCGTCGCCCTCGATGATGGTGCACTTCTTCAGCGCCTCCTTTTCCCTGGCCTTCTCGAGCTGGTGGGTCGACTGGTCGAGAATGGTGACGTTTTCGGGGTCGACGTGCTTGACGATTCCCAGTGTGCTGTATCCCGTGCCGCCTCCGACGTCCAGGACCCTCAGTTTACGGTCGCATAGGTTCGCCCTCTCCAGGGCAGCGTCCCTGATTTCCTCCGTCCAGGCGACCCCGGTACACCGCTCGTCGTACACAAGGGAGAGGAACCTATAAAACCAGAAGGCCACTTTTTTGTGCTGCATTGGCCTCGTCTGGGAGGCGACCTGGGAGAGCTTGGACGCCATCTTTTCGCGGAAAGAGGAGATCACACGAAGCAGTTGAGATTCCAAATGTTCTATCTCTCTCTCTCCCTTCCTCAAATCTTCTGTCACACCCTTCCCGTCAGGGCTCTAGCAGTGTATATTTATACACGCATTCTTACGAAGTAAACCAACCTCGCTAGATGGGAAGAACCAGTTGCTCTTCGGGGCTTAAAAGCCTTCTCACCGTCCACCAACCTTGCCAGGAAGAACCAGTCACTCTTCGGGACTTAAAGCCTTCTCACTGTCCACCAACCCCGCTTTTTCTCCCAATTAATTACGTCACGTGCTATAGGCTGGTGATACTGGTGGCCATTTATATCTACATTCTTGAAAAGTCAAGGAAGTTGGAGTAGTTTCTTTCAGAGCCAACGAAGAACAAGAGAATAGAAAGCATCATTTAGTACTGAGTACCTTTGAATTAGATCACTCGTTCTCTAATCATTTAAAGTCCGGAGGTACTGGAGTTAAGGTTACGTATCTGGTCGACAAACCATGTCTCGAAGCCAGTCAACAGAAAGTCTTCTGCAGAACGGCTCAACTGTCACCCGTCATTATGCAGGTAGGTAATACCCCCACGCTCTTCAGATCTGGAATGTTAGAAAAATATTTAACAAATTCATGGATATAAATGCAGTTTAAGATCGTCATAAAGACGTCGGCTGATGCCATATGGAAGGCACAGAACGATGAGCGATGAGCGAGCTTGTACACCTGTCGACCGTCCGATTGACTCACATTTATGATGCTGAGGACCATATGCCCCTAGGATGGGAAAGAGAGGGAGCGAGAAAATGCGAATGAAGTGAAGGCAAGATATAAAAATTTTAACATTTTTCACCTTGAAATGAACAAGCTAGTCAAAAAAATTCTGACAGTTGAAAGACTCGTCCGAATGGTCTTGGTCGGTGTGCTCCATAGTTAGTCGAGAGGAACTTCTTACATAAACTTTATCTTTGGGCATCATCATTTTTTGGAATGAGATAATCTAAAACTCTCCTGTATGTCAATGCACCTATTGCTAAATAACATGATGAATTTGACGTTCAGACACTCTTGGATCATCTCGAATAATTTCGTATCACTGAAGACCACGGAATATGTGCCAAAGCATGATGATTTCTTGATCATCAGAAGCAAATGAAGTTAGTTAGATAACTCACAATATGTATGATCAGCATTTAGACAACATCCCTCCTTTAGTTTTGGGAGCTTTCCCCTTCGATTATGCAGTAGATTCAGCATTTGAATCAAACGAGTTTTGGGATTCTTGAATAGGGGCTGTTTCTCTTGTACTTGCACCGTGCTGCATTTCTTGCAACAGTATAGTAAGTGACATTCTTATCGGAAGAGAACAGGACTGAATGAAGCTTTCGTCACCATTTATTGGAGAAGAAAATATATGACTGATCCTCGACGTTTCCTCCAAACTACTCTAAAAAACCATCATTTAGAGAACAATGAAGAAAAAGGAAGTTGTGGGCTCTAGAGTCTTCTCCAGAAAATCTACAAGGAGAGGTGAAGTAAGCATAGACATACATTTAATCACAAAAAAAGAACTAATAAACCACTCTCCATGACATTATCGCTATAATTTTTTTACATCTGTGTCACATACACAGTACAAACATGTCCGAACCTACTGCAATTTAAAGCATTAATTGACTTAGTTTTGGGACTCAACCTATCTAGTTTGTTTAGAGCAGGTTTTCATTGTTTTCATGCAATCAAATGAGTATCAATATGCGCATAGAATTGAACATTTATGAGATGTCTCTGTGTAAAAAGAATAGGGATGGAATACTTGCCAATCTTGAGGCTGTGAGGATGAACTGTCAGTTTACGGAAGATTTAGCTTGGACAAGGTTGGAGTCGAAGTAGAAAGTGGATGTTGAATTTCGCACAAGTGGAATGAATTGATGTGTTCTTAAGATACGTGTTAAAATCTCTTGGGATGGACTTTTTATATGGCCCATATACTTTGATTGGTCAAAGATTTGCTTGCTAAAGGAACTTTTGGGTCACCCGTGTGTCAACCTGTGGAGCACTCTACACAGTCAACCTATTTAGTTGATCTGATTTTGATCAAGTATCTTTCTAAATGTGTAAACTATCAATCCTTCTGCCTGGTTTGATCTTATAACATGTTAGAATTTGATATAGCTAATCAAAGATGCTTTGATGTATTAGATCTTTCGAATATATTTTTCATTTTCCTAACTTTAGACTTGATTATCTTGTTGCAAGGTTAACTTATTATGGATAATTTATCTTTCTTTAGTTTGTCTCAGTAATAGTTATGTCGATTTGTCATGTTGAAACACTGGGGTTGACTTACTTGTCGGATTTAATGCCACACTTATATTGTGTAAAGAAAATCGTTGAAGAGGAATTAAATTGAGTTTGATGTTCTTTGTGATCTTCACATAAGGAAGTTATCTAATTGATGAAGACATTAAAACTTCAATCAGGTTGAAGATAATCAGGTTGAATTTAATTTTAGTACTCAACTTGATGTCATCTTATTATTTGACCAATCTCCAAGGACTGCTCAATTTTATACGTAATTCTCTACACAAATCGTTAGAAAGAAATTATAAACCGTTGAGACGTCACAGATGATTTTTTGTAACTTATTAGCCATTAGAGAGGCGAAATTTATAGAGAATTTTGATTCAAAACCTTCCCTTGTTTTTTCTCAATGCTTCATATTAAAATCCCAAAATTAGTTAGATGTTAGAACAGTTAGAAATAAATACATGTCCTTTACCATCTTTCACCATCTTTGCATACTGCTTAATGGTGTGGATTCATATTTCCGTTAAATCTGTGTACATAGTTTAAAACACAAACCTTCGTAGTTAGCAAATTCGATTAAAAATTTAAATTTTCTTGCCCAGAATTATATCTCTTCACACCCCTATGCAAACTTCTGGCCTTGCTTGGCTCCTACACATGAATTTTAGCCATGACTTTTATTATAAGAGCTGATTCATTTCTTTATGTACCAAGGCATTATACATATGTTGAGACTTTCCATCTAGCAATGGACTAGTCTATATGGGATAAGATTCCAATTATAAACAAATTATTTTCTAGATAGGTATTAATGTAAATTTGGGCATTGATCCTCTCTTATTGCCTCTTATATTGGTCAGCTTTTGCCTAGAGAAGCTTTCTTCCATTGGGTAAAAAAAAAGTAACAGATATATTGAGTTTAGGACTTCCTGATGAAAAAATATTTTTCAAGTGTAAAATATTAATATCAAATATAGAAAGATAAATAATATTATACAAATTGTAAAATGTTATGCATTACTGAAAGAGAGTTTACAGCTGAAATACTTCCCATTTACTTAGTGCATAAGAATGTCCTGAATTATCAAACATAGTATATTTACTCACCAGCGTTTCCTATCAATACAATACTCGTAGTCTACTGAATGATTATTATGCTGGACACATCCATTTGTATGACGCCTATGCCACAGGTTTCTGCTTCATCTAAGATGCCACATTTCCACGTTCTCATGGGCTACAACAGTCAATATCATACGAATCCTTGACTTTACCTGTTTGTAATTCAAAAGATTATCAGGATGAAAGAGGCAAGACTTCCAATATAATAAATGTGAAAATAATAATTCACCCGTACATAGTGAGTGATAACATTGTTGGTTTAATGTTGGGTCTTCAATTTCTTGAGGAGGCTGTTGACCATACACCATCTCACAACTCATATCTTCAAAGTCTGAGTATTTATTTTGTAATCAAATTAGTTATCATAAATGACTAAGTTTAAAAATTAAAAAAAATTGATAGAGTATTCACTACATGGACTAAATTTCCTCTCTTTAGAGGGAAAAATAATTGAATAGGAAAATAAATTTGTTCATTAATAATTGTTAGATCACTTAAAGTATTTTCATTTAGACAAGGAATAGACATTCTTGGAAAAGAACTAAGCACATTATGATCCATATTGGACTCTAAAATTTGAATGATATCAATGCAAAGTCTCTTTATGTTAAAGGAAATATAGATTTAGAGCGTTATGATTAAAACTATTAAAGATAAAATTTTGTGAAACCAATTGATTTAATCTGAGTAAGACATTGATAGTGAAATTTACTTGGTATCATGTAGACCGGAACTCCAAGTGAATCATTGATATACGTTTGTGATGGTATCTTGCACAGGTTTAAACACATCCCAACGCAATTGGTACCCTCCAAGAATCTAAGGGAAAAGTATCCATTTGTAAGAAGATTTGAACTTAGAAATGATGAACCTAAGATTAATTTCTTATACATTATATTGACTATGGAAGTAGCTTCAACAATGGTTGGACAACGGTTACACGTACCTGCATTTTTGTATATGAACCACATTCTTCTCTTTCCGTCCATCTACAGATGATTCCTTAACCTTGAGCATTGAACATACAAAGGTTTAGCTCAAAGTAAAAAACTTGTGGACTATAGTAAAGGTAAAGATTCGCATAGAAAGCAATGAAAATGTCCTATATGATGATCAATTTATACATCTCATCGTATGTAAATCATTGTGTAATTTATAGATTTTTCTACAATTCCATGATCATTAATAATTAACCATGTATAATAATTATCAAGTGTAAGATTCTAGATAGTAGCTCTATCCGTTTTTCATCACTTTCCTGTTTCTATGGTTGTTATTACCTATTGCCCATGTTTTATTTCATGGTGTTTAATCCTAGCATAAAAATCGCCTGCTTACCCACACTGAACCTGGAGCTACAGCGCAACAGTTATTACTTATGGATTATAGAGAGACAATAGCATGCTTCATTTAGAAGACCATGTAATGCCCAAAAGATTCTGCATTCTAATATTATAACGAAAGGTGAGTTCAAATTGAGTCCATTGTTTACTAAAACTATTTTATTATATCCGTTGTCCGGAGTAGGGATTGACAGGCCGAGTAAAGGCCGAATGGGTCTCCAATCGCACTAAATGCGCTGGAGCTCAATTTGTCGATGTTGCAATCATTCCTAACTAAAAAGAAGCGCACTTAATCATTTAAGTTCATTCTGGTCTTCTATTGAATTCATATTCCAAAATCCAGTTGTATTGACACTGTTAATTATGTCTTATCATGTTTGAAGCACCGGAAAAACCACACTTTTGTTTCTCTAGTTAAATTAACTCAAAGAAGAAACCATGCTCTTGAAGTAATGGTGTTCTCTATGATTCCAGATTCAAGACATTCCGTTACAAACTTGACTTCTGCAGAGTGGCTTTGTGAAGGAAATCAGTTCTGATTGTGAATGTTGAGGCCACAAAAATCAATTTGGTGATAGAAAAACTCAATATTCTATGATATACTAGCTGCCTAGTGTGCAGGTATTGAAACGAGGGTTTTAAAATAAAGGCGTAAAAGGTTCTATTGTGTCGGACCACAGTCAGGGATGGGGAGTTTCGACCGAAGAATGTTCTATACAGCGTTTTGTGCGCAACATAATGTTCTGAACATACAGGTAAATACTGAATGTAGAAGTGTGAGTATCTACACATCGAACAGCACGTGTTTACGTTCTGAGATCTATGATCAAGCGTGGAACCAATCATAAATGTCGTTTTCAAAGGATAAATAAGAAGAATCTTTCATAAGAGATATCGATGGCAATTAAGGACATCTTCCTGTCGCACAATTGATGAAAGCTTAACCTTTATTTCTCTCTTCAGGAATTATTTGTAGAATTCGGCAGAAACGTTCTCCATTTGCTAAGTGAGTAAGAGTGTGAAATTAATTTCACGGGAAATAAAACAAGACAAGTTTGACGCCTGAAAAAGTTATTGTATGAGTAAGCTTTGCACCTCGCATGGTCCAATTAACCACGAGCAAAATATGATGGTGAATAAGGCAAAGCATTCCCGTGTAAACTTGGAATGCGGCAGCAGCGTTCTGATCTGCAGTATGAGGATATGTGAGTCAGTATCTAAATAAGTCCACAACATTTATGTCATATATGCATACCTATCTGTCTTCAACCAGGATGACCTAACGCATGTATCCAATATTTCTTAGAAAACGTCGATTTTAATCTACATCATTTTGAAGGAACTAGGATCTCTCCAGGTATCTATGGCGACAAGGAAAGAAGCTTGAATTCGCAGAAGAAAAACACTAGTGTGCAATGGAACTTGCCAGTGTTATTATGGGTCTTGGAAAGGCCTTGTTGAGAGACTCGATCACGACTTCTCGCTGCTTTTTTTTATCGTACTTCCTGGCAACCATACTAGCGCTTTCGATGAGTCCGTCGTAGCCTTTCATCGTGCTCCTGAAACCTACGAGATGCGAGAATTGCACTAATGCCGTGTCTAGCATCCAACAGGTTCACAGGGGAAGGACAACGATGAATCGTGTAAATAAATATTCCCTTCACAACGGCGTGATGGTAACAAAGCGAAAGGCATGGTTTTTGTAAGGTGCAAATATGGCTCCGAAGAGCCTATCTTCCATCTAAACAGACAAACTCGAGGAAAAACTCATGGCAGAATGGCGGAACAACATGAACCTGTGACGGACTCGAGGCTCCGAGAGAGATGGCCGATAGCGAGGCGGTCAAACCAGTTATCATTGTAGAGAGTCTTCTCCCCCATGGTTCTTGCTTTGTTCCCAGTCGCAGATGAGATTACTACGCTGTCACAACGGAATTGCAGCCTCAGTTTTCTGTCTATCCTTGGAAGACCATAAGCCACCTTGCGGCACAAGCCGCTGCGACCATTTAGGTTGAGAACTGGCAAGACTTCCATGAGAATGATAGAGGAAGGAAAGGAACAATAACGAGAGGAGAAACATCAGCCTCTACCGCTTCTGTTATGTGACTTTACTCTTGTTCTAGTCTGAGTGGAGACAGAGGACGTAAATAGCACATCTCCCGACAGCATGGTCGGGGAGGCATTATGAGATTCCCATTTACACGGTTGCAGTCGTGTACAACTAGGCATCTCGAAAAGGAGTCAAACACCTGTCTCTTATATTTCCTCAGTAGCAGGGAAGTAGACCCCATCACGTCGATGTAGTCTGCGAGAGGGAACGATCAGATCTACCTGACGTTGCCGCTGAAGAATATAACACTCTTTTCGTTAGGTTAAGATTCACAGGAAATCATCGTGTTCGGAAGTTTAAATTTGTAATATCATATCCCTGTCAGTTACCTAGTTCGTTCGCCGACCTCAGATCTTAGACAGAATCAGAAGATGGTTATATTTACTCTAATCAGATTCATTGGAGCACGAATCATCGTGCGTGAACGGCATAGGCCAGTCTACTTCGTACCCCACCATTGAGTACATTATATAAGATTGAATAATATTTTATAACAGAAGCGGTAGAGGAGAAAGATCAATGCCAAATTTAATTGAATAATAAATTTGGCATTGATCAAAGTAATAATGTTAAACATCCAACTAGGAGTTCAAGGATGCATTTGAATCTCATTTGTTGATTCTAAGATTTTATGGATTTTACCACTTGAGATTACCATTTTGTATAATATTCTAATAATTTCTATTATTTATAGAAACTGCCACTATTAGTTAATTTAAAAATCAAAATCATAAATAAAAAATTATTAAAATATGAGTATAAAGCCTACTTGGGTGTCAATATGTCCATATATGAAATCATTACTTTTTTTAGTTTTGATATCGAATTAATCAATTGAACCAAAATATTTTTCCAGCCACTAAGGATTTTCTAAATAATGATAACTATTTATTAAAAAATAATTTTAAACTTTCTCATGTACTTAAAGTTTTAACTTTACATATTGAGATCATGATTCAAAGCATATATTTGCCCTTTTTTATTTAGTTAAGGTAATTATATAAGTTTTGAATTAAAAATCATTATTTATTTCAAAATTTATTTTCAATTCCATTTCAGTAAAAAAAAAAATTATCATACCTATTATAAATAATAAGCTTCAGATGTATATATTAGTGTTTAACAATAATGCCATGTCACATTGGTTTTCAACCATTCAAATTTCTAACTAATTTTAGGAATTTAACATTGTGAGATGGTGGAAAATAAGGAACATTTTCGAATTGAAATTCTCAAATGATTTATTATTTTTTAGCAATCATCTTTAACCTCTAATACATCTCAAGATTCTTTTTAGTATTTTTTGAAAGTAGTACATACAAATATGTTAGCTATGTTATTATATGTAGGTTATAAGAATATAATCATGTATTAGTGTGAAGTGTGTACTCTTAAATAGAAGTACATGATATTATAATTATGTTCTCAAACTATCTAATGTCTTGTATTGTCTTAAGGAAGCTCTATGAGATTAGTATGATATATTTACATTATTTTTATTAGGAAACAATTTTAATAGAGGAAGTAGTGATACAACTCTATTTACCAAAGAGAAAGATAAACGTATACTTACTATTCAAATATATTTTGATGATGTAACCTTCAAATCTTCAAATGATTTTCAGAGATCATGAAGAGTTAACTGGAGATCAGTATGATGGGTAAACTTACATATTTTCTTGGATTAAAAAAACAATTAAAAGATAGAATATCCATCTCACAATTAGAATATGATCTTGCAAGAAGAAGAAAAAAACTCCCATCGACAGAAAAGTTAAAATTGATCTTACTAGCAATAGGAAATCTATAGATCAGAGATATAACAAATAAAATAAAATTAGATCACAAGACTAGTTACCAAAAACTTGCAGGAATAGAATCACTCAAGAAAAAAATGTGAAAGCAAATATATTTGAAGAAATTTAATAACATTGAACTAAAATTATATCAATTGATAAAAAGCCCAACACAAGCATTGCTTTCCTTAAAACATTCATTTTTTTATATGCAACTAGCAACTCATCAAGTTTGTGCCCATTATTCTTATATGCAACTAGCAACTCATCAAGTTCATGAATTTCTTCAACATAGAAGTTAGAATTAGATTCAATTATGTGAACCACATCATTCTTTGTACATAAGGAGATATTTACTTCTACTTGAGTATTTCAATCAGATGAACAATTTTTAGGTTGGTCTTAATAGGAATCAGAACTCTCTTCTTCTTTTTCTTTTTCTTCAGTAGCTGAAAATCTAACTTGAAAAGCCCTTATTTTTCATGAAAAACATGACTTTATATTTTCGCTTTTTTGGGCTTGAAAAATGATAATTCAGACAAGGTCAAAATCAAACTTTGTAGGGAAACTACATGGATATGACATTAGTTTTATAGGATATGTTTATTTTCAGTTTTAATTCATGTTGTTATTTTATTAAATTGTTTTACTTTGTGGAGAGAAACAACTGATTTTGGCCTTTAAAAGACCTTGTCATTTAAACATATGGTCATGCCAACAAAAATAGAACTTTTGTCCTCCCTATATATTTCTATATACTTACATAGTTAAGTAATTCATGTGGAACAGAGGGTTGTTGCTTGGATCCTTGTGGCTTCAATGGGTGTCAGAATCATTCCTTGTAGACTCACTAAGAGAATTAGGATCTTGTACTTAGCAAGTGTAAGGTCTATTTTTTGTTGTTATTCTACTTTCACCATGAACATTTCTAAGGTAGATTAATAAATTAGAAGTGTCATTGTTTTCATTGTGGGTGTCAAAGTTTTGAGATTTACACATTCTCCCCCTTTCTCTTAACCATCAACCCTAAGAAATTGGCTCTCTTTTAATAGAAATTCCGTCGGGTGTCTTTAGGCATCAAATGATTTGAAATTGGCTCTCTATTTTGCCATGGGTGTAAAATCCTATACTTTAGCAGTCACCACACTATATTCCACTCTTTACCATGGCTCTCTAAGGAAGATGAAAGGGAATGAATGATGGTGAGTAACATCATCTACATTTTTATCAAAGGCATTTTTTACGCTCAAACATTATTAGTTACATGTCCCCACAAATTAATCTTACATAGTAATATACTATAACTTTTCTCATGTTGTGGATAATATGGATGACCATAGTGAGAATTTAATCTCATGCTTTCACAAATATGTTCTGATAATTAAGCCAAGTAAATATGCTGCCTGAAAGCATGCCCACAAGACCACATATCCCCCTTACTTGTTTGGTCAGCGTAGCGTTGTTCTACTGTATGCGCTTTAAGCGGCCATTTATTTGGGTAGGATGTTTGAGGCTGTAGTCGTTGGCCCCGTGAAGAATTGTGGGCCAGCTATACAATAATGGATCGGACATGGGTGGCGAGACGTTGGCATAGCCACGAGAATCGTCTTGGCCCCGCTACTCTGTAGTGGTGGTTCTAACAGTCGTTGAACTTGCTGGATGAAGTAGCGCGGAATTCCTCAGCGAAATTGAAAAGGAAAGGGATGGAATTCCTCGCCAGCGCAACGGTGGGGAACCACCAGGCGATGGCAGGGGTTCTGCTTCCTTACCGTGCTACCTGCGCCACCGCTGGCCCATCTTCCGGCCGCCGTTTCCTAGGAAACGACCCCTTCGGAATGAAGGGTCTCCGCGCCAGCCCCCCCGCCCCTTCTCCATTCACGTTTTCACGCGCTGTGGTCGTCCACTCCCAGCGGCCAACCTGGCTTCCCGGCCTCGACCCGCCGCCTCATCTGGACGGCACGTCTGTGTCCTTCAAGAAATGCATCGATCTCGTTGCTTGATATCTCAGTTGAGGTTTCTCGAACATTTCTAGTGAGTGAGATTTCTTCTTACTGCTTTTCCTTGTTGATTTAGCCTGGCGGGAGACTTCGGCTTCGATCCTTTAGGGCTGGGGGAGGATCCGGAGAGCTTGAGGTGGTACGTTCAGGCGGAGCTGGTGCATTGTCGCTTCGCCATGGCTGGAGTCGCCGGCATTCTTGTCACTGATGTAAGTTAAGTGAAGGACGTACATGTAGTTTTTGTTGCATTTTGTCTTGTGGATAGATCCGTGATTTTCGATAATAATTCATTAGATAGCATCCTTGCCCAGTCAATGATAATGATAGTATGGAGCCAAGAATTTTCAGCGTAAATCATTGATTAATGAGATCGACACTGATACGTTTAGGCATATGGTAAGGAAGGCCACTATTGCTGGTACAGATCAGAATTGACTTTACGATCTGACTATGGAGCAAGGAGGATTCTGATTGTCTGATTTTCGGGCAGAATTGGATTGTAATAAAGAAGGATTCTAACTGAATCAAGTTAATATTAGCAGATCGAACTTGAACTTTGTTGGTTGACCCAGTCTCCTCATCATACGATGTACAATTCCCTTCCACTTATCCTGATTCACTTATCCTAATATTACCCCAAAATTGCTAAATAATTTAGTCCTAAAGCTAGTAAAATTGTCTAATTCATTACACGTCCCATATTCCTTCACAGTAAACGGAGTTATTTCTGTTTTCTAGGACGAAAATAAGAAGGAAAATGAAGATATAAAAGATATTTTTCATTTTAATTCGGGAATACCTTGCCTATGCCCAGTTTGTTTTTCATTAACTGATCTCAAATTTAAAAACTCAAAAGGCAATATTTAGATAGACGTATTCAGTTTCATTCATATGAGAAAGTTTATGCTCCACTGACACAGCATGCTGAATGAAATGGAGCCTTTTTATGGAATAGAACTTCACATTTTCCTATGTAATACAATCCGTCCATAGCGTTTTTGTGAAAATATCTTATCACATTAACAGTGAAGGTTGATGTATCATGTCATAGTATTACCTTGGTTGCCATGCAATTAATCACTGAATATACGCTGTATCTGTCTATGTTTGTAGTTCTTTCTTTCAGTACATTTGACATTTTTAGTTGAATTTATCTCTCTGCAGCTGCTCCGTGTGTCTGGCATGAGAAATCTACCTGTCTGGTATGAAGCAGGGGCCGTCAAGTATGGATTTGCTAATACAGAGACACTCTTCATTATTCAGATTATTCTAATGGGGTATGTTTTGGCTTCTTTATTTCAGTGTTGCATTATTCAGACTTGAGGTATCCAGTGCAGTACTGCCGGTCTTTGATCCACAGTATATACTTTTTGCTGGAATTCATTGTCTTTTTCAGGCTCATCTCACTATTATAACAGTAGAGTTGCAAGCTACATTGAGAGCTTCATCTCTCCAACTGTGAATTTTTAATACTGTTCAAACGGACCGAATGTAACCAATACTGTTTACATTAGTGCAGATGGTGATTGTAACCAATTCCTAAAAGATTGAATCAAGATCCTTGTGCTGCAATGGATGGAAATAAAGTGAAGTAGTTAGCTTTTGAAAGGAAATTATTCGTAGACGTCTAAAGAGATATGCTTCGTTGATGAAGGCTAAAATTGTAGGTAGATGTAAAAAATTAAAGTCTTTAACATAAATTCTCTCGTGGATAGTAATATTAAGCAGACTATGTGAAGGGGTTCCTGTGGATACCAACTTCTTCTCCTTTTCTGTGCAAATCTGTCATGTGAGCTTTCTTAGCTACAGACGTCCGAACCTAACAGATTAATTGTTGCAGTCTTTTATTGGGTTCTACGAAAAGTCCCTATCCTTAACGCTCAACTATTGTTATTGTTTGTTCCTATTTTGCTGAAAAGGAATACATTTGAGGCCAGGCAGATTTAAAATTACTGTCTCATTAATGCTACTCCTAACAGTACCTAAGATTAGAGTTTCTCAGTTACACTTGTTTTTATCTAAGCTATCCCAATATTTAGTCATGGGGCATGGGCTCCTAAAATAGACCAAAAGTAGCCGTAGAACTCCTAAATAATAGGATCTGATAAAAAAAATAAATCTGACATTAAGAATTCTTCGACAGTAGTAGACAGTTACTAGGCTTAATTACACTTTTTGGGGACCTTCCGTTTTGTAAAAATATGTTCTTCATAGCTCATTGAGGGAAGTCCACAATTATTCTTTCATAGATCATGGTGACTTTTCTTTCAACCAGAATAAGTATTTCAGTCCTCTATTTGCTTGTGGATTCAAGGTTCTTGGTTTTTGATCCTTTTGAATTCAAGAATGAAGTCTGTCAATTGTCATGAATTCAAAACTTTGGAGTTTGCCTATTGTCGATTCAAGGAGTGATGATTTTTGTTCTTCTCTTACTCTGGTCGCATCATTGAGAATGGCTCACCATCATTCACTCTTGATGTGATATTCATTTGGTGATATTCTAATATGTTGTTTTGTCTTCGATTATTTAAAATTTTCAATTTAATGGGGTTTCTTCATCAATTTTTGCTCAAAAAACAAGTGACTCTTAATGTAGTCTGATATTGATTGATAGGACTCTTGAATAAAATTAATTGATTGATACAATTAATGATGCCTCTTGAATAAAATGCCTTTTAACCTCATTGAACACATTATTATTAAAGGACTCCAAAATGAAGAAATGACATCAAATTTTTTAATGTACGGCCGCCTGAATTTGCAATATGCGTAAACTTTTCATTTGTGTTAATCTGTTGTTGCTGTTCATATTATTTACCTTGCAGATTCGTTGAAACGAAAAGGTATATGGATTTCGTTAGTCCTGGGTCACAATCCCAGGATGGCACTTTCCTTGGCCTGGAAGCCTCACTTGAAGGGTTAGCCCCCGGGTACGTACTGCTGCTTGTAATTTGTCATCCGAGTCCTCCATATCAGGTCCAATAAGAAATCAATCCCAGTTATGTGCAATACTAAGTCTTCCTCAATCTAAAACAGCTACCCTGGTGGCCCTCTATTCAATCCTCTGGGTTTGGCCAAGGACATTGACAGTGCCCGCGACTGGAAACTGAAAGAGATTAAGAATGGTTTGCCCCAATGACTTGATTTCTTGTGGGTCTCTCTTTATTCCTCTGTAATTTGCAGTCTGATTAATCATGTATTGGTTGGGATACAGGAAGGCTTGCTATGATTGCCATGCTGGGTATCTTTGTGCAAGCAGCTGTCACTCATGTTGGTCCTGTTGATAATCTCATTGTGCACCTCTCAGACCCGTGGCACAGAACTGTGATTCAGACTATCACAGGGTCTGTTTAAATTTGTTTGGAAATTGGTTCTTGCTAAATCTGCCATCTGCTGTGAGCTGTCCTGGCACACGAGGCATCTTGACCGAATTTGAGCTTCCAAAGTTTTATGAGAAATTGATATACTGGCCAATGTGGGTGGTAATGTATTTGTTATACATTGAGTTTTTTTTTCTGTTGTGCTTTGGTCGTTCTCTGTTCTTGCTAATCTGAACGATATTCTCTAAATTTATGGTGATAAACATCTCCCATTAGCCAGAAATCTAAGAAAAAACATAACCATTCAGATCAAAAGAAAAGTTACGAAAAATAATCAGTTAAAATGCTGAACACAAGAAAAAAATATTGAAAATTTCAAGAAGATATGCCTTGAAAACCAAAACGAATAGATGCTTAACGAAAGCTGTAAAAGGTAAAGAAAGTTCTGATATCTGGTCAAGAAAATAGTACCACTCATTTGTTAATAATAACAAGAAAAAAAATATTTATTGATTTTATCTAATATTGTAGTGGGCACGTCCTTCTCTTATCTGACGAGTCGGAGGCAGTTCATTCACAAATGCGTACACTATGACACATCGTTTGGCACTGGAACGCTATCTGCTCTTAGTGATTACCCATCATGTCCAGTCCACGTATGCTGAGGGCAGCACGAGTGTATTTGCTCATGGTCAATCCTCTGCCGTTGTGTGTCATCGGACGAAGACCTAGGGTCAAGTGGTGCAGCCGTGGAAGACAGGGAGCAGGCATCAGGTCTTTAGCAGGACATAAAAAGGCTTCACAAGGAGCCAACTTTTCTATTCTATAACAGTTTCACTAGGTAACAAGTGTCGACCTTTCTTCTAAGGGTTGTCTAACCCTCTAAGCATTACATTATTATATCCTTCAGCTAAGCAGAGGCCGCCTTAATCCTTAGATTAAGTTACTTATTATCTAAGTTTTACTTTGTGTTTGATATTACTTTTTGTCCAAGCTTACTATCGTTCACTACTTAAAGCTCTAGTTGATGTTTTGAGAATGCCAACTTGTTGTATCATCCAAAATCAGAATTTATATGGCTTGAAACAAAGTCCTAGAATTTGGTATAACAGGTCAATCTAGTTGGAATGATGATTTTGGTGTTCATAAATAAATTTTAAATACATTTAGAATGGAAAATTGCATGAGTAACATTGGATCACATTAATCATCTAATTAAGGTCTAAACTCTTATGGTTTTCTATGATGTAATAAATATTTTTGGGTCTCAAATAAAAATTTCAAAATGTCAAGAAAAAAATCAACCTCAAAGAAAATTGAAGAAACTCAGAAGAAATCTAAATAAGAGAAGTGTTCAGTGGATAAAAGAAAGTTTATAAACTAATGCATTGACCCACTTTGCAAGTGTGTCAATCCACAAGTGTGTTGACTTACACTGCAACTTATAACTATGCTGAGTCACTCTACAAGTGTGTCAACTCAATTTTGCTAAGTAGAGAGAGGATGATGGAATTCTCACTCATACATCATATCTTGAGAAAAAAAAATCACAAGACAACTGATGTTGGATTTTAGGCCACAACTAGATTAAGAACAGGTGTTGAATCAACGTAATCCTAATTTGACTTTGGTAGAATATTTTAATCTTATTGATTCTATCTTTTCGATCCTTACTTCTGTTAGGTATTTTTAGTATAAACTAGATTACTTTTAACATCTTTAAAGCAGTTTGGCCTATCTACCTCCAAGCACTCTTCAAGAACACATTTTTCTTGAATTCCACTAATCCAAGTATTTTGCTCAATAAACATTGATTAGTGGGTTCAGCTCCCACAATATTTCATTCTAAAATTGTCTTCTACATTCATAGTATATGGTTTACCACTAGTTACAAAGATCAGCTACCTTAAATGATTAAATCAAGATTTAATCACAAACTTTATTTTACAAAGAAGAAAGAATTCCACCATTCGATTTTTCTCATTGATAATATTTCCTTGAGTTTCATTTTAAAATATGATGAAGAGAAGATTAAACTAAACTTTATTTCTTTATCTTTGACATGTGATGAAGTTTTATGATTAACGAAGATGTTTCCTCTTCAAACAAGTTAAGGAAGACTTACCAAGCTTCGCACCTCAACTTGTTTTCTTCTTGTTATTTTACCAAGCTTAAAAGACTCTTGTAATTTATAAGTACTTTACCTATTTTTGTAGTTAAGAATTTTAAATGGTATTTTAAATGGTTAGAAAATAGTTATGGACTGATGTATACATCTGAATCATATCGGTTCAAACAAGTCCAATAAGAATTCATTACCATTAAAACACAACCAACAGTATCCCTTTAAATAAACCAATGATTTTATGTTTGAAGTTAACTCAATTCACCTCCAACTAACCATGAAGGCAATGTAAACACACTAAATCATTCAATATTAACCATCATGATTTTGGTGACTTATCATACTTCAAAACTATTCTAATTAATATCCATCAATCGGCTTAAGATTTTGAAATAATGCTGGAATAGTCTGAATTCAATGAATTAAGTCTAGATCCTGCATAATTGAAACTAATTGTTAAACATAATAGATATAATGAATGAGTTTTCATACTCATATTTTACTTCAAAATTTCTTGCTACTTCTAATATGATAATCATTACATTAAAATAGTGATTTCTATAATTCTTTAGATTTCTCAATGTAATTAAACAAGTAATATATTTGAGTAGTAAATTCAAATTAAAGTACTCAAAGCATGAGACTCAAGTACATCCTCGACTTGTCATTTGGATATTTCACACCATAACCTTATTTTATTTATCAATTTTTACTTAATCATGTTCATGCTAATATGCAAGAGAATATTAATTTTTAATTAATTTTCAGTGTATAATTGGAATAATTTGATCTATTTATTTGTCTTATGAGTAAATCTCATTATCAAAATTTGATATGTAAATTAATGCTCCAGCTGTGTTCTCAGTTTTGTGTTAACAAAACTATAACAACAAATTAAGAACATGGACCATTCAAACCTTTAAAAATATATTTCTCCACTTGATTTATAAAAATATCACTTTGTTGTATTTAAGAAAATCATTTTAACATCAATTAAAATACTTTTTTATGTGTTGTATTAGGTTCATTATTTTCTCAACAAGTTAGATACAAACTGAAATATAATTTATGGTTCTTAAAGTTTATTTATGATGTAGTAATATCATCAAAACATTTGATTTCATAATATGTAGTTTTTTAAAATCATTGTCAAAAATAGTTCAATGGATAAATGAAGACAGTCATCATAAATAATATTAATCACCAAAAACAAAAAAGTATACAAGAATCAAATTTCTAACATTCAAAAAATGTTTTGCCAAATTTTCAAACCAAGTGTACAGACTATATTGAATGAATTCATGCATTCTCATTGCTCCCTCTTTTTATACCTCTCCCTTTCTTCCATGATTTCTTCATTTCTGAATTTTTTGTTTCCCCTGAATTCAACAGGTCCTCCTCTTTGAGACATAGTTTCACCTTTTTGTCATCATCAAAATTTATAGAAGGCTCATTGCTTAGAATATATCTTTTATGTGGGGAAGAATTGATGGGTTGATCCTTGGTGAGATGATGGGAAAGAAAATGATTACTAATAAGATAAGTTTCAACTTCCAAATGAGGAAGAAGAATTGTTAAGCCATCTATTATTCATCGTCATAACATGATAATTTGTGATATTAAAAATCAGATTTTATAATGTTATGTTGTGGGCACATTATTTTCAAAAAAATGATTTTCAAATTGTTTAATTACGGTTAGATTGGACAATTTTCTAAGGAACTTCTTCTTCATTAGATAAAATTTCCATGATCATTTATGAATCAGAATTTTTGAACAAGAAAGTGTCTAAAAGGATTATTGGTGTCACTAGAAGATCAGCATAAGAAATGGGAACAATTGGCCACAGATTCAAAATAAGAGTACATTAAGAGTTAAAGACTGACGGTAGATGGCTTCCTGAGATTTGAAAATATTAAATACACAGATTGATCAAAGTTTCTTTAATCTCAAGATTGTGTTTGTTATATTTCAAACAATTACCTTGAGATGAGAACTGCAAAACATAGCTTGACTTTTGAAAATTGAGAAAATTACGTTTTTCAATGATCAAGTCTCATTTAAAAACATAAGTCTATGTATGGGTCAGGAAGGTTGTGGTTTAGATTTGATCTCAATGCTCATTTAGAAGGACTAAGACCATTGGTGACTGAAATAGAGGATACATAATGAGCATTGTGTTGCTCATGAGCATTGAAATGAAATGAGATATGAGATTAAGCAGTGACCAAATGATTCTAACACCCCCTATAAAGCAAGCTCTATGGCTACATGGAATGGGCTGTTATAAAGTTAGAGTGAATTGAAGAATCTTGATTCTGATGGAACTGAATTGAAAACCAAAATTCATTCTTCCTATTTTCAATTCATGGATCCTTGGCATCTATAATTCACTGATCATTCACTTGGTTCTAGAAATTGAATCTATCTTACCAATATTTTAGTTCTACTTCGTTTTTCCAAATTTCTACCCATCACTCATGAATCTATTTATAATTTTAATCAAAGTAAGCACGATTCTAACCAATTATAAGATATCAACCATTATAGAACATAAGACATAATTCTATAAAAAGGTTCAAGTAACCTTGAAAAGATTTCAAAATAAATTTATGAACTATTTTGAATTCAAAACCATCTTTAGGTCACATTGCATACCTCCTTTTTGATTCGCATTCTAATTTCGTATCAAATGGTTACTTCTATGTTTCAAGGTTTAGTGAAAATATTGGATAATTCGAATTTAGTACTAATAAAATTTAAAACAAATTCATGTTTATTCGTATGATCTCGTATAAAATGAAACTTTATATGTGTTTTTTGTCTTAGAGTGTGTAATAAAAATTTTAGCTAAATTAATTATTCATATATTATCACAAATAATTGAGATATTTTCTGTCTATTTTCTA